TAACATGTCTTGAAATGGCGTTTATACAATCTGGTACATAGGAGATCGAAACAGGCAACAGTCTCGTCCCAGGTGATTGCTTCGGGATTCGTGCCGATTGAAATATCGTCAGTAGCATTAATAGTCTGTTAATAACAAGGGCTATTGCAGTGTTTAGCTTAAATGTACGATGAGACGTATCGATATTTATAAATACAGCATACGAAAAAAAAGTTTGACTCGCACCTCAAAAGGTCCCCGAAGTTATAAACAGCACATCACAGACAAAATAAGACGGACAGGATTGTCGTCACATAAACCTGAAAGAGGACGATATACCTATGTTGCCAGAACAAACAGAATTTGTACCTTAAATGATAATTATGACATTGAAAATGAATTTCATTTTATTTTGAAGTGTCCTGTTAATTCAGATTTGCAAATAAGATATTTATTTTGCGTAAACCTAGCGTATTAAACTTATCTAGTTACTAAGTGTCAACGATGTCAAGGGATTTGGTAATCTTAAAAATTCTTACATGTATCATGTCAACGACGTGCGGAAACATTGTAAAATATCTCTCGTAATATTCTTTGTTAATGCTAACAATACTGTTGTTCTCTCACTCTCCTGTAAAATATGTGATTCATGGAAGTAGTACATGGGTAAGTTGATTTTAAGTGCGAGTGATTGCTACAGTACTCGACGAATACGAGTGAGTGAGTGAGTGAGTGTGTGATTGGTTCGGAGTATGCAAGTGTGTATTTGATATAAGATTGTGCATAGGCTAGGGTACAAGAATTAGTGCATATAAGAACGAATATTTATCACTCGTATATTATAATATTCCAAGTTGTTGAATCTTATATGCCATACGGCTTCCGGAATAAAGAAACTGAAATTGATAAGACATACCAACATCTAAGTGGAGACTGTGAATTTTAGAATTACTGATATGTACGGAATACATTTTACTTGGTTTCTTTTGTAAATCCGTCATATTGTAAAAAAGATTGAAACGTGTCAGAAAGTGATTGAATAAAACCCTGAAACCTTCGTTCGTTCCTCCCGCCTGCTGACAGTGTAATGACTGTTCGGCTCATAGCTGCTGAAAACGAGCGTTTCGTTCGGCTGCTGATCGGCAACCGTTCGTCCAGCGGCCGATCACCGTCCAGTAACCGTTCGTCCAGCGGCCGACCACCATCCAGTAACCGTTCGTACCGACACAATGGGGATACGTAGCCATAATTTTAACTGTATCCTTATTGATCCAACAGTGACGTCGACATGTCGCGGCTGATTTATCCTTACTAATCCAACAGTGACGTCGACATGTTACGGCTGATTTATCCTTACTAATCCAACAGTGACGTCGACATGTTACGGCTGATATATCCTTACTAATCCAACAGTGACGTCGACATGTCACGGCTGATTTATCCTTACTAATCCAACAGTGACGTCGACATGTTACGGCTGATATATCCTTACTAATCCAACAGTGACGTCGACATGTCACGGCTGATTTATCCTTACTAATCCAACAGTGACATCTACATGTCACGGCTGATTTATCCTTACTAATCCAACAGTGACGTCTACATGTCACGGCTGATTAATCCTTACTGCACAAGCCACATATCATTGTGTACCTTGTTTCTCCATAAAGATACATGTGTATCTATGACATGAATTTCGCTGTTCACCCGCCAGACTGACTGACGAACGGACATCATGCCAATAGTAACGTATTGAAAAATGTTCACAAATAACCGCTAAGCTATATTACTTTCCCAATACTCCTACACTTTGGAATGCAAAAATTACTAAAATAAGAGAACCAGAGGCTATTTTTCTTAATTTTAAGCGATTTTATATCTTCTTTAATTCTTATTTCAAATTTGACGACAATAACGTGAACAAATCAAAATAGGTAAAAAAATAACAAAATACAAACAACCATATATTTATCGCCAACAAGCCAAATGATAAGTAGCTCTATGATGAAGTTGACTAAATAAAAGCTTTGAAATACCCAAGATGTTGCAATTACTATCCTATCAATATGAGGATTTAGACAAATCGAAAGGACTTTATACCTACTTCTTTATTTCGATTGTATTGCAAAGTAATAGTCCTTACTTATTATAATTATATTTGTAGTTGAGGAAAGTAGATAAGGTGTACACAGCATTTCAGATAGATTAAAGTGTAAGTAATTACAATACATGTATTTACATGCCTATCTTCCTTGAAGTATCATGGTTAGACTTTTCTTCCAGTAATTATGTCTATAAAGACATAGTTCTATGAGATTAAATCAGACTTCCATATATACAAAATTTACAATATTTTCACTGTAGCTACTACTATTCTGATCTCCAATGCATTAGATAATGTCACTATGACACGCAAAATGAATAAATATGTTATGGAAATATTTCGTTCTAGTTAATTAATAATTATAAACATGAATTGTTTGGGGTTTTTTATACGCGCTCTGTTTGATGGAATATTTTCATTTCAAGGAACTTTGATACACATTAACAAACCTTGAGAAATTAGCACAATCAACCTTCATCAAATAAAACTAAAAGGCAAAAAATATAAGTTATGACAGAGTCAACATCATGATCAGTACAGTATTAAAAATGAAATATTCATAAATCATTAGCACCAAATGTACCTTGCCTACGAAGCGCAAACTTTTTGTCTTCAAAAACTTAACAAAAGTGTCATGGCGGTGGGTGTGAAAATCCTGAAAAGTGTCATATCGGTGGGTGTGCGCGTGGGACGAACACACTCAAATTTTGTGACGTCTAATGAGGTAAAGCGATGTTATATATTAAGACGATCTTGCCACAACGACAAGGATTAAAGCAAAATTTATGGTCTTTTTGTAAGTTTTGTTTGTTGATAAGTGCTGTTAGTTGATAATTCAAACCAAGCCCCCAGACTAGCTTCTTATCATGGCGCCAACTCGCACGTACAGTGTTCTGTACGCTTACGTCATGTCGAGAAGGATTCCTAAGCCCCGCCATATAGTAAATACACTGTAAATCAAGTCATGCAGTTACAATAAACTCTGGAGATACAAGAAACCATTGTTTTGCTGACTTACGGCAAATATGGTTGTTTTCTAGGAATATTCACAGCAGGCGATAAGAATCACGTCAGCTCGATCTTCTTCAGCAGCAGAGGTCGGGTATGTCCGTAAGCAAATTCCGTAAAAAATATTATTAAAAATTTATCAATAGTTCAACCAATTTTGTTTGAAAGGCCGTCGCAATAGGCTATACGTACTGAGTACGTTTAGCCTAAAAACCTACCATATAATGTGGTCCTAGTGGTTCTAGATATATAGTGTGTCTTAGTGTTTGTCTATATATGATCTACTATATACTTGAAATATTTTACAGCAATAATGAGAAACATGTAGCATCAACTGATATTAATCACTTCTGTTGGTCCAATGTAACGTTGAAAATGAGCTCGTGAAATTAGACCAGGGTTTTGTTCGGGAAATTTCATGTCACTGTAATGTGTAGAAAATAGAGAGGATATCACATTACAAGATCAAAATAATGAGCTAAAAGACAAAAATAATGAATAAAGAAAACAGCAGCTTGCCAAAATACTAACTAAATATACAGGTGTTGTTTTGTCTTTAACTATAATGTTACACCAGCTGTTTATCTCGATCTTAACTTTACCACACAACCAGCAGAGATAGCTGTTTGATATCATGATTTCCATTTCTCAGTAAGCAACCACCTAGGTAAGTTTATTTGAATTTTTTTTTTTGTTTTTTTGTTTTTGTCGCTGTCAATTCGATTTAAGGGTTTTTATTCAAGTATGTGGCTCCTGGAAAAGTACCAAAAAAATGAGACATGATGTTCAGGAAGGGTAAGCGTCTTCTGCTTCAAAGACGACACCCGCGATAGTAATCTTGGCTAATCCCAATAAGTAATGTCATGTTCTCAAATGAGAACAATGTATACAACAACGTAACCAACAGGCAAACTAACGAGCATCAAACACGTCCAGCTTCATATCACACCAAGAAATAGAATATTTCTAATTGAGCCAACAGAGAGGCGCAGTTATTTCCAACAGGTTTGCCTTTCTTTCTGTTGGAAGATCTTGCCATCAAATTCGACGAAGATTTTGTCAACCAGAAATTCGAACATTTTTGATGATTTCGCCCTCCGATTATTGATTTGGACGTGTTTTCACGAATTACGCCTGAGTATAGTACAAAACCATATATTGTACCACCGTCTACCTTTCTTAGAATAGAATGCTTTCATACCATGATAACGAACGCGTTCTTTCGGTTTAGAATTGGATATGGTGGTGAACAGAACGGAAAAATAAAACGTTTTTTTTATAGAAGAAATGATTTTAGAAGAGAGTGTTGACAATAGGCCGAACGATCATTGGAGTTCATTAAAATCCACTCACTAATAATGTCACTGCTCCAGTTAACAGTCTCACAATTAGACCGTAATCTTCATTTGATAATGCTTAGAATGGTCGTTAGTAGTGTTGGTTGAACAGCTGGATGGATTCTTGTGAAGTTTAAGGATCCAGTGTATACGAGCAGGTCCGTATCCTTGTCATTGTTAGGTGATGTAAATGTTTGTAATATTGGAGCATGATTAGCTAGTATTTCGTCTTTGGAAAAATTACATAATGTATGCATTTACATGTGAAGTTTCAAGCAAGCTTGGTTCCTTATGTATACAGAAAATTTAATAATATCTGCGGACAAGAATCAAGTTACTGGACGTGTGTTATGTCAGGATCGGGGAACGCTGATCTGTGTTTTGTTTTCATTTTAGATTTTCAAAAGGGGGGGGGGGGAAAGAGAGAGAGACAGAGTACAACATATTTATAATAGTATTCAATGCTAAAATAATTTACTAATTGCCTTTGGACTAAAGGTTCCTTTAGAAGCAGTTATTTGTTAAATGATTCACGGTGTTCGTCACTTTACACATATGCCACTGAAGACAATATGGATGCGGAACAGTTCTGTAAAAATGGACAAAAGATGGTGGAGTATATTAGCACCTACCTAGAACAGATCAGAGACCGCCAAGTCGTCCATAATGTTACCCCTGGTTACATGAGGTCACTCTTGCCCAACGAGGCCCCAAAAGACCCCGAGGACTTCGCTGAAGTCTTCAAGGATATCGACAAAGTTATTATGCCAGGGGTATGTATTCATGTATTGTCTGATATAGATTCTTTTCTAAAACTTTCAAATCACTAATATACAAATGTTTGGAAATAGACGACTGGTCTTTAAATGAATTCGGAATAATTTTGTGAAAGAGATTCGGTTCAGTAGAGTGTTGGCCCTCGTAATCTCCGATTAAAATTCGAGGTGAGTGTTTACTTTTGACGGGCTGTGTTTCTCGTGAAGCCGAGATGATGGGGCACAAGTTATTCCAACTTACATATACCTACGCCTCCGAATATAATTTACATATAGAAAACAATAACAGCCTTGAAAGCATGCTTAAATTTTACAATAAGTATTACTATTAAAATCAAAATCTGTTTCTAGACTTAATGAAGGACTGCACACGTCTGCGAATATTTCAATTAAGTACTGCGGTCTACATTCAAAGTAGTGAAAGTGTGGATCAGAATTATTCACTTATTCCTTTAGTTTAATAAAGATGACTTTGTTAAGATAAAGACATTCTTACATAGATGACCACAAATACACGCAACATGATTTACAAAGCTTGCCCTTAATATATTATAATTCAGGTCATGCGTAAAATATTTAACTTATGATCGTCGACACTAAAATACACCGGCAAGGTAGCTGGCATCTCTGACTTCAAAGTGGACATAGATACATCTAATGAAGGTAGTGAAGGGACTGCATTATTTAAGGTTTTCCAACTCTAAAGAGTAAAATGTATAAAAGACAATTGGGTAAGGGAGAATCTATATATAAAACTCCTGTAACGGTTACGCAAAAAGTAATAATTAATTTCACCAATAAATTATCAAGTAGCGAGGAATTAATTTGTTGTACATCTTAAACAGCAGTTGGAGTTTTCTGTAATAAAGAAAAAAATTGGGCAAATTTATAGAATAAATCATCAATACAGGCTTTGATGGAAACCCATAATGATATTAGCAGTTTGTGCACCTTCTCTACATTTTCAGATTCAGATATAGAGCACACATCACATACATCAGAAGTATATTTAAGGACTGGTAATATCCATGTTTTATTGATTCTCGAAAGAGCATCACGTACTGAGTAAATGTTTTCTAAAAATTTATTTATCTCATAACAGAAATATATCTTTCGTAGACATGATCACCCACTTTGTAGTTGCATTAAATGTTATTCATAAATGTTTGTAGGTGATCAGTCTAAAACTTCCCATTAAATTCTAGTTCTTAAGTCCTTTAATATTCATAGAATTAGTAATAAACAATACGTTAGGCTTTCCACAATTACCTGTAACCAACCACGTTTTAGCCCAGCAGTTTAACATCTAGATTTAAAGATAGGACAACGACGACGTAACTAATGATCTGCAAATACTACACTAATGCTGGACTAAGGACGGATTAAAAAAGATCTGTAATATCATTAATATGAATTAAAGATAAAAGTGGACCAAGATTAGATCTTTGAGGTACGCCTGCTTTGATTAACGTTACACCAGAATCATAAATAAAAAAAGAAGGAAAAATAAAATACTTTGTCGTGTCTTGGTCAATATTGTTTCTAACCAGAATAACAATGCCCCTGAAGTATACGATTGTAATTAAACCAATAAACATAATTGACCCAGGCTCTCTACGTGTCGGAAATGCCAGCTAACGATCAAAATTTAGAAACCATTCAGTATAACGAACTATGACAAATGAATTTCGGGGCTAATGCACCTCCGTATCTGTTACGAACGATTAGGATTTTCCTTAGCCGTCTTCTATTGTGTCCTTTTCTCTCCAATAAAGTTGTCTTTATATGCTTTCAACAAACGATTGTAAAATTAAGTATTAATATCATTTATGTGTAAGTTGGAAAATCTACAAGAACTGCTCGTTTGAGAATATAAGTGGCTGGTTATCCGAACGATATCCAGTTATATATGTGTTATCGTTAACTTAAAGTGAACTTATCTGTCGATTCGGGAAAGTAATAACATGTTAAAGAAACCTAGGACGATTCCTACATGGTAGTATGTATACATGTGAAATTGTTCATTCAAGTGTAAAAATGATAACTATGTTTACTGAATTTTGCTTAGTAGTGAAGACAATTTCTAACTTGGATCACTTCACAACATACAATGTTTTGTCATGTTTTTCCTGGTGTTTAACCTTCATCAAAAAAGTTCGTAACACACAAACAAAACGCTTACTGAGATACAATATTACATGTAAATGTGTTCCTTTATCCATATCTATGTATATCTGTCGGAAAGGTTACCCATTGGCACAGTCCTCGTTTCCATGGTTACTTCGCTGCTGGGAACTCCTATCCTTCTATTCTCGGAGACATGCTGTCTGATGCTATAGGTTGTATCGGGTTTTCTTGGGTAAGCAGTATACTATGATATTATTTGTTCCGGGAATTTTATTGCCGTTTGTTTCGTGGGTACTTTAATCAACGACTCAGATGTCCATAAATTGAAAAAGTAGACTTATTGAGACATATCTATCAACGTAATAGTGTCCAGTAATAGTATAGATAAATTGTTTTTATTTTGCAAAAAATCAGACCCTCGAAAATGTCTGATTTACGGTAGAATTCATTCTAATTAAAAAAAAGAAATGAGCAAAATTATATAAATTGAATGGTGATTTAGATTTTTTTCTGTTTTTTTTTTTTTCACAAAAAATGTCCCTGTTACATATATTGTAAACAAACATTTTGTACATACTCTTGTGTAGTCTAATATAGTGAATATGTTTCTAAGGCTACGAGTCCAGCCTGTACTGAGTTAGAGGTAATCACCACAGACTGGTTGGGGAAGATGCTAGCACTGCCGGAGGAGTTTCTACACCGTTCACCAGGTCGAGGAGGGGGAGTGATTCAGGTAAGTGGTCTTCAGTAAATGTTATCCCAGTAAGGATTGAGGGGGTGTCACCGTATACGGCCATAGATATAAGGTTTGAGATGATTGAAGAGTTTAAAACAAAGATAATGCAACTAAATTGAAATTAATTAATGATTCTCATTTCATAATAAATGAAATTGCATCATACAGCAGTTTCATTCGGTAGTTTAAATTCTGAAGCAAAAACGATGATCCAAGTTGTTTTTCTCTTAAATGGAAATACAATTTGATACAAGTTTAGAGTTAAACACAATAGAGCCAAATAAGAACTGTGGCATACATCTGTTTCGTCCATCAGGGGCGTCAATTCTAAAACATAAGAATACCAAACTTTATCAACGATATGTAAAAATCTAGACGGGGAGGTGCACTTGTCCCACATTTCAATAAATTTTCATATTTTTTCGTATAAATGATAATTCCAAAACAACGTCATTTACATGTATATATTCTGAACCGTGTCACTTTTCGAAAAAAACCAAAAACGTAGCATGCAGTTAACGGCAGAGCTCGGAAACTAAGAATCTAACAGTAGCCCCTGTCTCTCTCAAAGATTTAGGAAAGATGTACATCAAAGTTAAAATCACGTATTGTAAGTAGAGTCAAACAATTAAACTGTGTCAAACAGCTGTAGTCCTCCTAGGGTTGTTTGGCGATGTTAAAGACCGAATTTTGAAACCTCGGAAGCGACCGAAGAAAATCAAATTTGATCTAAATAAACGTCAATATCTAGACTGGGAGGTGCTCTTATTGTGTGATTCGTTGTACTTATGTCGAGATCAGTTGTACTAATGTCGTGATTCGTTGTACTTATGTCGAGATCAGTTGTACTAATGTCGTGATTCGTTGTACTTATGTCGAGATCAGTTGTACTAATGTCGTGATTAGTTGTACTAATGTCGTGATTAGTTGTATTTATGTCGTGATTCGTGGTACTTATATTGTAATTTGATACCAATGCATACTTTGTGTCACAGTCGACAGCTAGCGAGACAGTCCTCCTGTGTCTGCTGGCTGCCAGGACAAAGATGGTTGAAAAATATGAGAAGGTTTACACAAACCTGGACGAGATGGAAGTAATGGCGAAGCTAGTTGGTTACACATCCGACCAGGTGGGACGAATTAATATTTCATCATCTATTTTATTGAATTTGTTATCTTACAAAAAAGAAATTGATGTTTCTCTCATAAACGGTATACATCATTTGTACTGTATATACCATATTTATTTTTATCGCAACACAGTCCAATTCGTCAGTAGGGCGATCCGGCCTTCTGGGTGCCGTTCGCATGCGCAAGTTGGAAACAGACGAAAAGTTCAGTCTTCGCGGGGAAACGCTGAGGGAGGCCATAGCCGAGGATAAAGCTAAAGGTCTTATTCCGTTCTTTGTGAGTAGTCTTATACCGTTCTTTGTGAGTAGTCTTATACCGTTCTTAGTGAGTAATCTTATTCCTTTCTTTGTGAATAGTCTTATACCGTTCTTTGTGAGTAGTCTTATACCGTTCTTTGTGAGTAGTCTTATACCGTTCTTTGTGAGTAGTCTTATTCCGTTCTTTGTGAGTAGTCTTATACCTTTATGTGTGAGTAGTCTTATTCCGTTCTTTGTGAGTAGTCTTATTCCTTTCTTTGTGAGTAGTCTTATACCGTTCTTTGTGAGTAGTCTTATACCGTTCTTTGTGAGTAGTCTTATACCGTTCTTTGTGAGTAGTCTTATACCGTTCTTTGTGAGTAGTCTTATACCTTTATGTGTTAGTAGTCTTATACCGTTCTTTGTGAGTAGTCTTATACCTTTATGTGTTAGTAGTCTTATACCGTTCTTTGTGAGTAGTCTTATACCGTTCTTTGTTAGTAGTCTTATACCGTTCTTTGTGAGTAGTCTTATTCCTTTATGTGTGAGTAGTCTTATACCGTTCTTTGTGAGTAGTCTTATTCCTTTCTTTGTGAATAGTCTTATTCCGTTCTTTGTGAGTAGTATTATACCTTTATGTGTTAGTAGTCTTATACCGTTCTTTGTGAGTAGTCTTATACCGTTCTTTGTTAGTAGTCTTATACCGTTCTTTGTGAGTAGTCTTATTCCGTTCTTTGTGAGTAGTCTTATACCGTTCTTTGTGAGTAGCTGTATCATTTGACATCAATATGACTGGAATCGTACAGCCATCTTTAGTTCATGTACACCAAGGATAATTCAAAATTACACATATATATACAAAAGTTTAGCAGACAGAAATACTAGTTTATTTAGCTATTTTATACAGACAGGTTCTTTGTGAAGTCTTATAGTTCTTTGTGAGTATTTATATATAATCAACATGACTGGAATCGTATAGCCATCTTTAGTTCATGTACACCAAGGATAATTCCAAATTACACATATCTATAGAAGTCGACTTCGAGTATGGAGTAGTAGTTTTGGTACAATGTTCACCGCGTTTGAATGAACATAAGAAGTTGACCGGTCTTTATCAGACAGAGATACGAGTTTATTTAGTTATTTTATACAGACAGGGTATAGTAGCTAAGTAGATAGAGTATCTATATGTAGTAACAGGACAGAATTAGTGTACCACGGGTCACTTAGACAAAAGCCCACCTATAACTTAACAGTATATATTGGATACTCAATCCTATTTCAGCTGTGCGCCACATTGGGAACAACAGGAACATGTGCCTTCGACAACCTAGAAGAACTTGGCCCAATATGTAAGTTAAATATGTAACCTTTGTTGGTAATCAGACCTTTTCATATTATCAATGTCGTTATCCCCAGCCTATGGTGTTAACTTGTCGTAGTTTATCATTCAGGAACACCTGATCTTATTCAAAGGTTTGTTCTCAATATCCCAATTTTCGAGCAGCTGACAGACAAATTCATAACATAGTTTTTCGAGAGATGCAGGTTGATGAAAATAAAGGGAAATTTTACAGTCGTTAAAATGTGCAATATATGGTTGTATATAAACTAACTAGAAATGACTCCGCTGCGACACATTGCATTGTTGTGTCGTTCAGGGAATTCCTTTTCAATTTCCGTCCCTCTGATATATACAGATACTGTAATATTGTATTGAAATACCACCGTAGAAGGCAAGGAAAACGTAGAGATGATATTTTCAGGCAAAGAAGAAGATATGTGGCTTCACATAGATGCAGCATATGCTGGGAGTGCTTTCGTATGTCCAGAATTTCGCCATTTTATGAAGGGTGTTGAGGTAAGTGAAAATACCTATACAAAATTCGATATGTCCGAGGCAACACCAAGACAACAGAAATTTGTGAAGTAAATGTATGTCAGATATGTACTGAAAGACAAGTGCAATATACTCTATCAACAGTACAAATTAAAGTGATTATGAAAATGGCATTATCTCACCCTATGTGAAAGTTACATGGCAATAATAACTGGATGTCAGACATGTTAATTGTATGTTTGTGTAAATACTTATATATGTAGGTAGGTATAACATTTTATATTGATATATATAAGTTATTTATAGGAATTCAGTCTATAAATATTGTTTATCAGTAAAAAAAAATAAAACACAGAAATAGAGCTAAACGTACAAGCACCAATATAAAGCAGGAAGAAATATACACAAAGTCACGTAGTTTATGGTATATGTACAGAAATATATGGACAGAATATGGACAGAAACACACAAACAAAATATATTCAATTAGAAATATGAATTATAATAAAGTTCAGTACAGAGAAATACAAGTTTAAAACAAGAAATATTTCTTTAGATTAACGATCATGTTGAGGAAAACATGATGAATCAATTTGTTTCTATGATTGTATATTAAAGACAACATTTTCCTTAATGAGTGACTTAATATGTTTCTTTAGTGAGTTACTTAATATGTTTACTTTAGTGAGTTACTTAATATGTTTCTTTAGTGAGTTACTTAATATGTTTCTTTAGTGAGTTACTTAATATGTTTCTTTAGTGAGTTACTTAATATGTTTCTTTAGTGAGTTACTTAATATGTTTCTTTAGTGAGTTACTTAATATGTTTCTTTAGTGAGTTACTTAATATGTTTCTTTAGTGAGTTACTTAATATGTTTCTTTAGTGAGTTACTTAATATGTTTCTTTAGTGAGTTACTTAATATGTTTCTTTAGTGAGTTACGTACTTAATATGTTTCTTTAGTGAGTTACTTAATATGTTTCTTTAGTGAGTTACTTAATATGTTTCTTTAGTGAGTTACTTAATATGTTTCTTTAGTGAGTGACTTAATATGTTTACTTTAGTGAGTTACAATATGTTTACTTTAGTGAGTTACACGTACTTAATATGTTTCTTTAGTGAGTTACTTAATATGTTTCTTTAGTGAGTTACTTAATATGTTTCTTTAGTGAGTTACTTAATATGTTTCTTTAGTGAGTTACTTAATATGTTTCTTTAGTGAGTTACTTAATATGTTTCTTTAGTGAGTTACTTAATATGTTTCTTTAGTGAGTTACTTAATATGTTTCTTTAGTGAGTTACTTAATATGTTTCTTTAGTGAGTTACTTAATATGTTTCTTTAGTGAGTTACTTAATATGTTTCTTTAGTGAGTTACTTAATATGTTTCTTTAGTGAGTTACTTAATATATGAGTTACTTAATATGTTTCTTTAGTGAGTTACTTAATAATATGTTTTCTTTAGTGAGTTACATGTACTTAATATGTTTCTTTAGTGAGTTACTTAATATGTTTACTTTAGTGAGTTACTTAATATGTTTACCTTAGTGAGTTACTTAATATTTTTTATGTTACTTAATATGTTTAGTGAGTTACTTAATATGTTTACCTAAGTGAGTTACTTAATATGTTTACCTTAGTGAGTTACTTAATATGTTTACTTTAGTGAGTTACTTAATATGTTTACCTTAGTGAGTTACTTAATATTTTTTCCTTAGTGAGTTACTTAATATGTTTACTTTAGTGAGTTACTTAATATGTTTACCTAAGTGAGTTACTTAATATGTTTACCTTAGTGAGTTACTTAATATGTTTACCTTAGTGAGTTACTTAATATGTTTACCCTTAGTGAGTTACATAATATGTAGACTGGTGATTCGGGGATATAACAGTATTGTTTTGTTTTTTTTGTTTTTTGTTTTTTTTTTTTTTTTCAGTATGCTGATACCTTTAGTATAAATCCCCATAAATGGATGCTGGTTAATTTTGACTTGTCTGTAATGTGGTAAGTCTAGAGAAAAAAAATAAAACATCGTGTTACATATACTGTCTAGTGAATTTAAATTGCATGTGATCAAGGTTCATTCATATTTAATATAACGTACGACAAGATTAATTAATTTCTTTCCGTTCGTCTATCCAAGTATATATTAAACCAGTGTTAAAGTTACCGTTGTATCAATTTGTTTAGTGATCAGTTTATAGTGTAGTAGCAGAACTGGTTTTGATATATATCATTTTTTATTATTTCCCCCAAAGTTCTTGTTTATAAAGTACATGGAAATACAAATTATTTTTACATAGTTATCTCGCTGGACATGGAATTCTTTAAAATCTCACAATCAATTTTTTAAAATTTTTTATGGCATAATTTATGACGTCATCGGTTGCATTTGTTTCAATGAAAAATTACTCCTGTCAGAAAAAAATCTGATAAGTCCCATTCAATTTGTGTTTTTATTTATTTTTCGTTAAACAGGATTAAGGATAGGTCATTGTTAGTGGATGCCTTCAACGTAGATCCTATCTATCTCAGACACGAGAATGCTGGCAAGGGTGCGCCGGATTATAGGGTACTTCCATGTCGGCTCATACATCTACATTTTTTTATCATTCCTAATGAAGGGAATATTTCTCTTTAAACATCATTAAGTCACAGTTCCTACGTCATATCAATACTTAATTTGAAAAAAAAACAGTCAAAATAATAAAATCATTTTCATTTTTGGAAAGATTAGAAGCAAAGTTAATGGTAAGGTGGAAGTTAAAAACACACGTCTTCTTTTTATTATACAATATCTTTAAACCATTTTATATAATTAAATTTGTAAATTGCAACAAGATTCATCAACTGCAAATGAATCATTTCGTTATAGCATTGGCAAATCCCGCTGGGACGTCGGTTTCGTTCCCTTAAGTTATGGTTCATGCTGAGGTCATACGGAGTGACCGGTGTCCAAGCATACATCCGTAAGGTAAGTCAGTAAAATGGTTAATGGTACATAAAACTTTATATCGAAATAAAATACCATAAGCTTGTAAAGGTGTCGAGTTAAAACGGTTCTGTTTTGAATAAGAAATTTCTATTCTTTAGCATGTCAGTCTGGCTAAGCAGTTTGAGAAGATGGTTCTGAATGACAGCAGGTTCGAGGTGATAGCAGACGTTGTAATGGGACTTGTCTGTTTTAGATTAAAGGTGAGTTGATACAGAACATCTACTTTTAACATATGTTTTATGAGACGGCATAGTCTAATACAAAGATGTGAACATGTTAAGTTATGGCACAATCTTGTTTACCTGAAACAATGTAATCACTGATAGTATTGGTAAACATAGGATGTTAATGACTCCTGTAACATTGTCTTGTTTTCGTGCAAATTTTATTTAGCTTTCTTAATTTCTATTTCGGATATATATACATTAATGCTGTCGTGATGAATATGATGCTGTTTTCAATTATAAGATGGGAATTATTTCTAAAGATGTTTTTACGTGGTGCTAATAATATGCAAATGATTCCTAATATCATTTAAATGTAATTGTCTAAGAGACATAATGCCTCTCTATTGTTGTTCTTTACATGTGTTTCCAGGGAAACAACAATAAAACAGAAAGGCTACTAGAGGAGATTTTACAAGACGGACGTATCTACCTTATTCCGGCCATTGTTCACGAGATTTACACTCTCAGACTGGCTATCTGTGCCGAGCGCACCAACTCTGACGACATCGCATTTTCCTTCTCCGTCATCAAATCATGTGCAGATCGCGTGATGAAACGATTCCCGCCATCGGAAGACATCAGAAATGCCGTGAACGGACAAATCGATAACATTGCTTAAACTTTGTATTCAAGTTTAACCATAACGCGTGACTTTGAAACGTAGACGGCTGCCTATGAAATTAAAACTTTTCATTCGTGGCAATTTTTTGAGGTTGTGGCAACGACGTGATAAGGCGAGATCTGGATATGACATATGTTGTCATGGTGTTAGACCATGACTCTAAGTTAACTTATTATTGGTGATCAGATCAAGCAAGGACTTTATCAATAGACAATTTTTAATCAGGGCATACCATAGATTTTAAATTTCTGTCTCTACTGATAATTTCATGTTTATTGTCGCGTTTATTTATGTAATACTTCATATTTATGTTTTCCTATTAGTGCTCATTCAGTTTATAAGCGAATTGTCAGCACAACATAAGTATCTAGTATCAAATATTTGAACGCGAAAATAAGCAGGAAATTATCATTTTAGAGAGTTAAATTTTCAGTCTAGGCATATTGATAGTCTTACTGTTTTCCGATAGCTTTGAATAGGCAGGTCTTATTGTGGGGAAATATTTGATGAAATATCTAAGAGTTTAAAGCAAAAATAATCCCAGTAAAAATGCCTGGCACGCTCTTAAAACTGAATTTAAATACTTTTTCCTTCTTTTCAAAGACATATTCACGCGCGTCCAAGGGAAACGTTTGGTGATCTTAATGTATTACTATAAAACCACGTTGTTTGACTCCAAATCTAGATTATCGACATGGCATTTAGTTTATTGATTTTGTTATGTGGATTCCAAATGTCAGTCCTCGTTTTTACTCCTTTTCCAAGGCATCCTGTGATGGGAGGGTCAGCAGCGGTGATCAATTACACAACCAGCATGATGCTCTCTCTGCCTTCTCAGCTATGGTCTTAATCAGTGTCTTTCGTTTTGAGCCCGTCAGTCCCACTTTCTGGACCATTTTCTATACAGTAGAGAATAGGCTGGTACCCTCTCTGTCTTAACTGTTTTGCAAGCTCAAGCCCAACCAAAAAGATCTGGGTGTGACGTTTCTATGACTGCATGGTCACCTGCATTAGACAAATGACCAGTCAGTGTGGAGGGTATTGACACTGTCGTACTTAATGCTCGAAATGGTAAGGAATCGACCAACTACATACACTGATGTCAAAATAGTGTGGCGAGATGGTAAATAGATTATATACCTAAACATGCACAAGATGGTAACAGCGTTATGTAGTCTATTCGGTTACACTTGGTCATAGACGTACGAGAGTCTGTGTTTCCCTGGTCCCTGTTTAGTACGAGAGTCTGTGTTTCCCTGGTCCCTGTTTAGTACGAGAGTCTGTGTTTCCCTGGTCCCTGTTTAGTACGAGAGTCTGTGTTTCCCTCGTCCCTGTGTAGTACTGGCCCGAGTATCCAAATGGTTTCCTTAACCAGTCACCTCAAATGGTTGTTTTTCCTGTTGACTATTTGGGAATTTTCCCAGTCATTGATATAATTTTGCGGTGTGGAATGATCTGAAAATGCCGATGGATTGATTTGGGACTGAAAGTGTCTTCGCTCTGTTCTTGAGATTTTTTTGCTTTCTTGGGATTCCCCGTCGTCGTGGTGTTTATTAAGTTGGACACTTAATCTCCTGCCTGTTTCCCCGATATACAGTGCATCGTTGTTCTTGCATTCCATTTTATATATTCATTTTGCGACGTTCTCTTTGTGTGTTTTATCCTTAGGATGGACTAGTATATTTCGGGGAATCTTGTGCGGTTTCCTGACTGTTGCAATACCAAGACCACGTTAATCCTCTGAATGGTTTCTGACAGGCCTTTGTTAAGTAATGACTACTTGTTCTTTCGTTTTGTTCTTTTCCTTGCGTCGCTTAACCTTTTTGCTTTTATAAATTTCGTTGTACACTTTCTGGATTGCTCAATTAGGATATCCACTTGATTTCATAGCATTATGAATGTACTTTTGTTCTTGCATCTTGTCTTGGTCTTCTCTGACAATTGCTTCTCATCTGCTGAGCAAGGTAGTATCGGTCTGTTGGCGTCATATTTCCATAGATTGACACTGATGGTGGCCTCATCTTTCTTTACTAGGGGGTGTCACGGGATGGTATAGTGACACTGGTTTCCTCCTACAAATGAATTTGACGCTGTTTGTGGTATCTACGGTATTGTATGCTCAGTAAAATCCTGTGACGTGTCACTATATCAACAAACCGCTTCCACAAACTGGACTTGTATTCTACGAGGACCTCTTCGTCATTGTGCTATATGAACAAGATGGCCATATTCGCGTAAACTAGGCTGCCCATGTCGATGAGAAACCGTTGCTGATAGATGGTATCTCGGAAGGCAAAGCATGTTGTTGTAAGTCTTCGATATGGAGATTGGTGTTTGCTATGACCGGTCACCGAATGATACGAAATGCTCTTTCAGAGAGTGTGTTGATGTGAAATGAATTCCCGATCGTTTGTTTTTTTTAGTAACAAGACATACTTTCTGCAAGATCTTTCGAATTTTTGACATGATCTTCTGATGATTCGATCCACACTGGTAATTTGTCTGGTGAAGGTGACCGTGTAGTCATTGAAACGTCATACTTAGATCTTCTACTAGTTGTGTTATAAGAACTTCTATTCTATTGAAATTACCAAAACGAAGAAAATGTTCCAAAAATGATACCATCTTCCTTCCCAGGTGGAGGGTTTCTCTACATCCGGATATGTTCCATATTTCACAGGTCACTCTATGTGATCTTGCGCTCAGGAAGATTCAACTGAATCCACGATCACTGCTGTCTTAACTCAACTGCTTGTTTTAGCGGCGCTGACCAATCTACATTTGGACATTAAGAATCTTTACACAACTGACGACAGTGACAACTGTAGCTGTGTTGTCTAACTGTACACTACTACAGCTGTGAAATGTGATGATACTACTTTCCGTGGCATGATCGTAATTTCCTGCCGGCACATTTCTCAAGGAATTCAACCGCTGTCAGTAGTAACTTATATAATCTAAGGGTTCAACCCGTTCTCCTTAACCTTTCACACCTTCTCCCTATCGAACGAGGTTTTTTTTGTACCATCTTCACTGGTCTGTTGATGACAAACGATATTTCATGGCTCTTGACTCAGATCTGTTAACCGCCCCTCCTTGATGGATCATGTATCGTAATTTTCGTCGGCTTAAACTTCATCAGAGTTTCAGATGAAGACAGCATCAAGAGCATTTTGCTTGAACGTTGATGTTTAGTCTATTAATGTCTCTCTCACCAGCTTTCATTTCAATCAGAAATAGGAGAGGAAAACCTGTTACTATTCGCTTCTTCAAGTCCTGCCTGGCTGTGGTAAATGTTAACTGCAAACCATGGAAATACTTTTTGACGGTGCTGGTAATGGATGTTTTAATGTTGCATAGCTACCCCAATGTACTACTGTCAAATCGCATATATCTTAGACTCGCGAATCATCTGTCTGAAAACGCTTTTGGCTTCCTAAAAAGCCAGGTATAGCTCCCTTCTAGGCTGATATGTCGATGAAATGATTATTCAGTTATCTGTTGGCCGCCTTGCCATCACAGGAAAGGCAAGAAGATAGTTTTAGCTGCTCGCAAAATAACCTTCTGTTCTTCCCAGTATTGGATATTGTTCTTTTATTCCACAACTTCTTCAGGAGCAGTAACAGCTGTCCAATAAACTGGAGCACTTCTTATACACTTCTCCTGAAGTTCGATTCTGTCTTCATGTGGCATCAGCGTTTTAGAGTGTTTAATTCTCTCCGTTCTAACTTCCCTTTCCCTTCTATTCTCTGTCTGCTTAGACTTCCACAATCTTCATTCCATTATTCTAACCCTCTTTTTCCTCGAGGTATATACAATGTTTTTTTTTAAGGATATTCAGTTTCTTCTCTTCTATTCCCTGCATCGTTGTCTTCATTAGGCCCTCAAAGACAAGGTCTCGAAATAAATTCCATTCTGGGCCAGTCAACCCTCGCTTTCCTGAATGAAATAGCTCTTGTGGCTTCAGTTTCTCCTGTGTTCCTTCACCTGGATTGAAGACATAGCCGTCGCTACGGAGTGACTCATCATGAAGAGATCTCCAGTACTGTGATTTGACTCCAGACTGGTAACTTCCTCCGTCTCACCTGAGGAATCCTCTTAGTGCTAATTCTGGGTACCTGCAGAGGAACTGCTCGTCCTTGCCTTATGAATCCCAATCAAACTAATATTATTGCATACTACTTTCCCACCAGATCACGTACTAGAGAAGACACCTCCAGTGTTTCCTACCAGTTTATTCTTAATTCGTTATCTGAAAAATTCTTGGGTGTCACTTTAATATTTTTTTTCTAAGTTATACACCTATTTCACGAGTTACGTAAATAACACAGAGATAAAAACGATCCCGTTCGTAAAGCTTTATACACGTTCGGTATTAAGACCAATATAATGTCATAAAAACAAAACTTTCTTCATTAATCGGATTTCATGACAAATCTACATCAACATCCATCGTTCACGTTCGTGGTGTTTCGTCAAATATTTCTTTTTTACAATGATGAACAGATTCTCTAATCTCTGCCATTTCACCTAATTCATTGTTGAGTAATTTTCCATACAAGATTTCAACCATTTATGGTTGAGTAATTTTCAATACAAGAGAGTCTGTGTCTCCAGTTTTCTGTATGATGATGTATAACAGTACCTACATGATTCAGTATCTGGTTTCCTGTTCAGGTGAAACGTTTGAACAACCCCTTAATGCGGTAAAATTGCTATCATTTTATATTTCATCTGAGACCTTTTAGAAAGGTTTCAAATTTTTCTCTTCTTATTTCGTAAATCAAAAGTACCGCGATAGGACAACAAAATTTGGTGCAATTCTGTGTTTTGCAGGCCATATAATTGATTTCTTGCATGTATCTTTATTTGACACGAATATGTGACCCTCTCGGATACAGCACGATGATATATAGAGAACAATTATATGTTTCTAGTAATCATTTAAAAGAACAAAGAATACTTAATTTCACGATAGAACACCTAGCGAAACGCGCCAATAAAATGGATATCGGTACATCGAATACATCTGAAGATACAAAACATCTCTAACCTTCTTCTTATAAGGTAAACATCTAAACTTGTTTGTACTGTTTATCGACCCGTGAACGAGCTGGGACGTTATGAGGCGTGACTTCCTTGTAGTAGCTGGTGGTTTCCGCACTGAACAACATACAGGAGGACTGACGCATGCTATCCACAGCAATCGGGTTAAAATATCTTCCCCAATTACCATAACTATGTCGGCACATACCGGTCTGTTCCTCAGTTCCCTGAGAAATACAAATCACCACAGGTAGGGAGTGTCGAGACACATACGTAGATCATGATGCGAGGCTCCTGTGTTGTGGTATGGTTTCAGTCTCTTCGTTTCAACAAGACAAGCTACTTGATGGACATGAAATGGTGATTTTTATCATATCATATACCAGGTACATATACAATAGTGTTACAAGTTACATGTGAAAAACAAAATTTCAAAATTCATTTGTTTTCCTCGAGATATGTGTTGCCCTACCATTAATGTATACAATATCATTATACAAATAAGTGTCAATTTTTTGGACGGAGTCATATCACATTTTAGCTATAATATTCCTTTCTAAAGTGACATTAGGAACGAAAATTATTTTAAAAATTCCATACCATTGATTCGCAATTATTTCTTCTCTGTAAGATCCCCTGCACAGACATCCATAATCCTTAAAATGTTGGAGGTCCTTTTTTTATCACAATTCAAAGTTGACCATACATTCAAAGGATTTCATTTTATTCTTGAAACAGCGAAACTTATATTTTTTTTGAAACAAGGTCTCAAGGCAAAGCTGTTTTCAAATTATAATCTGTTCCTTTCTGAGAACAAATTGAAATGTTTAGGCATTTTCACTGGCAAAAACGCATCACAATATCTTACAAAGAACACAGAAAACTTGTTTACTAACAAAGAAACATTTATTAGAAACATTGCGTACAATACTAGCGTGGAATAGCACCAATGCTAAAACGTAGAACTCGCTAGACATTTCCATCAAGGACATCTTTCATAAAATTGTAGATGTAGTTATACACAGATTAAATAGATAAAACATTTAATTTTTCATGAATCACATGCATTAATTTCCATAACACAAAAAATTAATAACAAATAATGCAAAACATACAAACATTACAATTTCAGGAAAATTTATACAGCAAATATTTGCACAAAAGTCAATGCAAAAAGATTCTGTGATTCCAAATGTACTTTACAAAAGTGAAAATCAAAAAAAGTGTTAACAAAAATCAGAATGATTTAGACAAGACTATAAAATAGCACAAAAGAACAATCAGTATTTAGAACAGAAACGACCTAAATAAAAGCAGAACCCTCATTACACTTTGCAACTGACAAACCCGACATTACCAATATAGTGACTAGCAACCAGCCGTTCATGACAAAATTCACCTTTCATGAAACATGGATTGTATAGGCACAGACAGTGCATTGTAGAAAACACCCAGAGTCAGAAACAATAGGATGTATATTTGATGGATTGTTACATATCACAACCTTAACACTAAACCAGGAATGTGCTTAATAATTTATAACAGTGGAGTGTTCAAATTCTAAGAACAACGTCATCAACAAGTATAAACACAGGACGGAATACACATGAATACATATCACAGATTTGGCTTGTGTTAAATAAATACATCATAAAAACTAGGGTCAATGACATTTTTAACAAATTATGCATGTTTTTCTTTTATTATGATTTGACAAAATATCCCAAAAAGATTCACACAGAATTTTATATATAAAACATATTTTCTAGTGTAAAGTATTTATGTATTATAGAAGATTTTACTCTATGCATCTATAAAAATGCATTATCATACTTTTTCAGAAAGAGTTTTTTGAACAAAAGTTGAAAGAAATTCAAAGAAAAAAGATATCTTTGAGTGTATCATTTTGTTTTTACACTCAGGCAATGAATCTTTTTTTGTCAAGAATCTGAAAGAAAACAGGCCCTAATTACCCTTAAAATGTGTGCCTAAACTGAAAGACAATTCAAATGGACCTTTGTATTAAAATAAAATGCAATTTAAGTTTATTTTAGAAACAAAAAAAAAACAAAAAAAAGAACCATGCAAGAAGTTCTGTATAAAAATACCTGTACTTAGGTTGTACAATATTTCTTTTTGCCAATAACATCAATCAGGTGTTTGGTCTTTCCTCCATCAACATAATTCTCATTTAAAGACTTCTTAAAAGTAATACAATATATCAAAGCCCATTCCTGACAAGAGATTACCAATTCAAACTTAGTCAACATTGCAAATGGCGAGTCATTACATTTGGCCTTGGACCAAGATACTGTAAATGTACATATTTTGGAAGTAATTTTGTTTTAGCACTTTTCACACTGAAAGTATTGTGCTAAAATATGATTATGCTCATTGTGGTTTCTACACGTTGCTTAAAATCAATTAAAGCATGAATTTATTGTTGTGCTAGATTTGCCAAGAAGAGATAATGCACTAAAACCTAATTATTATAAAATGAAGTTTTTGTGGGGGACAAACTCCACGATTTTCTAAAAATATACTTTTTTGTTGGCACATGATTTTGTTGTTAACCTTGTTCAGGAAATCTGCTAGTACTATAATCCATGTCAACTTTTATCTGTTTATTATTTAATGGATAAGCAATTTCGTGGATTTAGAATACAATCACAATTAACGAAAATAAATTTTCCATGAAAACTTGATTTACGTTATGCCAAATTAAGTACATTTACAATAAAGTAGAAATATCAAAAGTTTATGAAATATCAATAAATAATATCAATGATCTGGATGATAGGACAAGTCACAAGACTGTACATAATGAAGATATTTAAATATGAGAGACAAATTAGTATTTTGATAATGAGATGTTTTCATGATAACCTAGAGATGTCACTATTCTTTGTTAGGTAATCTATTGGATTAACGCAAATAGAGGATCAGGGCTGTTCCAGTTTAACATCTATCCCATCCCAAGGTCACTTATTCTTTTACTGGTTTGACCAATTGGATCAGGGTTGTTCATTTATAATATAAGGGTGGTTCTACTGGTCTTATGCTTTCTGATGAGCACCGAATAAGTCTTTCAAGGCCTGTACTAACACTTGCTGGTTTGTCCAACTCATGCCTGAAATATTACATTCAAATGCCGTCAAACAGGTTCGCCTGCACAAATGAACAAGCCCCAGGTTTTGTTTAGAGGTATCATCCATGAGTTGACTGGATATTTTCTTAGAAAAAACTAGACAGGAATACAAATGATGGACTGAAGGTATTTATCATGGAGTCCATTGGTCAAGTATACGTTTTACTGGAAAAGCCCTTTGTAGATTGTTTCACAAACTAAATCAAATTTTACTTAAGTTTGGGAAACTGCAAACTAGATTAAATGTTAAATCCACTATCTTGTCAGTGAAACATCAATAAAAAGATCACATAACATTGCTACAGACAATATTATCTACAATTGCATTTCTACAAATTACCTACAATTCAGTCAGTAGCTGACACTTGGTAAGTGTAACTGACCCGTCATTGGATTAAGAAGATGACCCAGTGGTCGTAGCTATAGGGATGTCAAAAGGACTAGGCACTATCATCCTATTTTAAGTTATCAAGCTTAACATGAAAGATAACTAAAATCATTGTTTCCAGATTGTTACATAATACAGATAAATGTTAAACCTGTTACTGACACCATAAAGACTCAAAAGTCTTATGGAAACTAGGAAATGTCTGTAAGACATGAATGTCCACCCTCCTATTCATACAAGTTCTGGAGATACATACTGCAAGTAAGGTTGATAGGGAACAAGACACGATGGGATGGACAGATAGATATAGTTGCATTGAAAATCATCTAAATTACAATAGATTTTAATACTGATATTGTTTAAGATAACTCAATACAATACAGACACAGACCATAATGTCAGTATGGTTATCGTTAAATATGTTTGTTGTAGTCAGTATAGAATGAGATACACTACTGAGGACAGACAATAATCCAATTCCCACAGAACAGGTGTATTGTCGAAGGATTGTTTGATTGACAGAATATTCAGATGATAAGAAAAAATGGCAGATTTTAAGGAGACAGGATCACTCTCAGACAGGAAGCTGCACACTGCCTAGCTTGACCGTTGACCTGCCACCAACAGAGACCGCCCGAACCACCACATATATACGAAGGCCAGAAAGGTTTGTGATGACTGGTGGAATGTTTAATGTCATAGATGTGGCTCTGGTCTCCATCCATTGGGCAATGTCACCACTACCAAAGTTGCTGCCAGCAGAGACTTCATAGAAAAGCTCATGTGTTGATGTAAACACTGTGTCCCATCCTATTGTCAATTCCTGATTGGAAGAGTCCCAGCTCACATCCAGTGGGGTATCAGCTGTCAATAAAACAACACATTCATATTTAACTGTACATGTGAAACAATACACCAGACTTGAACATTGTATAAAAACATGAGCCATTACAATAATTGAATTTTAGCATGACACCAAACACTACCACCAAACACTACCATTGTCATGACACCAAACACTACCATTGGCACGACACCACTTACTACCATTGGCACAACACCAAACACTACCATTGGCACGACACCAAACACTACCATTTCTGATAGTATTAATGTAACAAATGCAGAAGTCACAAGTGACTTCTTGTATATACAAGATTTGCCCCTGACAATGTTAAGTATGGTGAATAAAAGTCACAAACCTGTAGCTGTATTCATTAACTGATTTGACCAGCTGGGCCAGGATTGTTTGTTATAATGAAATAAAGATGGACCTACTTATTCTATTTTGCTTCCTGGCAATTTCTGATTTATGTCTTTAAGCATTTACATATCTAAAGCGCTGACAAACAATTATTCTACATAAATGAACATGCCCAGTTCATTGTGGGGTAAAATAATTATATTTTGTAGGCTACAATCTGTCACCCCAAGAGGTATACTCCATCATCAAATTTATTATTTGTAGGCAAAAGATTACTTATGACCTAAAGCAGAGAGGCATAGAGACACTAGCAATGTACATGACAAGGAATGAGATCTGGCGATGGTTGTTTAACGTCTGCTTAGAGACAAGCTGTGGTTAGTGAAAAATATTTCAAATCTGAAAAAAATCATAAGATTTGTTGAGAAAGATCAGATTGATAAATTATGAGCGTTAATTTTGCCTTTAAGTTTCTTTTTTTTTCTGTGGCAACAATTTAAATTTTCACTCACCACTAGTTATTTATAACTAACCTTCGAAGACCCAAGGCTACTTTTAAGCAGACTGTCCTCCTCTATTTGAAGAAAACATCTTGCAACCCAACATTTTTTAAATGGTAAAGTATTCACGACAAAGTACTTAAGGCAACACATTAATGCCTTTCAGTGCTAACACAGTTCTCTGCTGTAATACTGGCAAAAACTAAGAAGAGTTAAACGGTTACCATTTATGGTGGGAGGCTGTGTGAACACTGTAAGATAAGTGTGACTTTGGACTGATAAGAATTAAACGGTTAACATTAATGGTGGGAGGCTGTGTGAACACTGTAAGATAAGTGTGACTTTGGACTGATAAGAATTAAACGGTTACCATTAATGGTGGGAGGCTGTGTGAACACTAAGATAAGTGTGACTTTGGACTGATAAGAATTAAACGGTTACCATTAATGGTGGGAGGCTGTGTGAACACTGTAAGATAAGTGTGACTTTGGACTGATAAGAATTAAACGGTTACCATTAATGGTGGGAGGCTGTGTGAACACTGTAAGATAAGTGTGACTTTGGACTGATAAGAATTAAACGGTTACCATTAATGGTGGGAGGCTGTGTGAACACTAAGATAAGTGTGACTTTGGACTGATAAGAGTTAAACGGTTACCATTTATGGTGGAAGGCTGTGTGAACACTGTAAGATAAGTGTGACTTTGGACTGATAAGAATGAAACGGTTACCATTAATGGTGGGAGGCTGTGTGAACACTGTAAGATAAGTGTGACTTTGGACTGATAAGAATTAAACGGTTACCATTAATGGTGGGAGGCTGTGTGAACACTGTAAGATAAGTGTGACTTTGGACTGATAAGAATTAAACGGTTACCATTAATGGTGGGAGGCTGTGTGAACACTGTAAGGTAAGTGTGACTTTGGACTGAAAAGAATTAAACGGTTACCATTAATGGTGGGAGGCTGTGTGAACACTGTAAGATAAGTGTGACTTTGGACTGATAAGAATTAAACGGTTACCATTAATGGTGGGAGGCTGTGTGAACACTGTAAGGTAAGTGTGACTTTGGACTGAAAAGAATTAAACGGTTACCATTAATGGTGGGAGGCTGTGTGAACACTGTAAGATAAGTGTGACTTTGGACTGATAAGAATTAAACGGTTACCATTAATGGTGGGAGGCTGTGTGAACACTGTAAGATTAGTGGTGACCTTGGGGCTAGTCTTGTACTGAAGGTTCACAGCGGAAACATCCATGTCGTGTTCACCTTCCGACAGGCTCAGACCATGTATCCACACATAGGTCTCCACCTGGTCTGAAGCTAACATCTTCCTCTTTTCACCATCCAGTGTAAACTGTAAACAGAGGAATTAACATGGGAGACCTCTCCACCAGAAATCAAATCTTTGAATTATTAACAGCTGCTGAGGTATTCATATTTAGGCAGTCTTTCTGATAGTTGAAGATAAAACTATTATTTATACAGCATATTCTAAGTTTGTTTTGATATCATATTGGACACCAGAATACTTCCTAATACTGTATAGATGGAGGCTAATATTTTATGTTTTTTTTTTAATTTGGGCTATTTCACAATGAGTAAATTTTGCACATGTCCATTAACTGATATCCTTGTATACAGGTTTAAAGCATAGATTTTCTTACATTTTAATTTATGCTAAATATTTCCCGAGGATTTAATAACCACAAATACAGCAAAATTAATCTACTCACGAATATTAACAACTATGCAGTACATTTTTATACTCTTGTTAAAAACCATTCAGGTAAATAGCTTTGTGCTGCTTCTGTTTATGCATATATTGTTTAACATCAGAGCAGCATATCCTTCATTATCCCAAAATCTGACCCTAGATAAGTGTATTCCTTACTGTAAAGCCCTCAATGCCGATATGGTCTACAAAGCCTGACCACTTCAGACGAACTTGTGTGGTGTCGCCCTGATAGTGTGGGGCTGCTGCAAATTCCTCCTGTGACAGTCCAATTGTGCTGAACTGAACATTGTCCACTGCTGGACTGAGTCGAGAGATACGGACACCATCTGATGACTTGACAGACTGAACACCAGCTTTGTTCTGACAGCGGATTGTTGAGTAGACAGTCATGCCCTGGACAGAGTCATAGCCAACATCTTGGACCTGTCCAGTAAACACATTATCAGGCATCCTCATGAAAGTTTGCAGTTCATTGCCGAATGGCTGGTACCCTGGAAAAATGTGATGTTGTTGTTAGCTATATATAAGCAGGAAAAAAAATCAGATGTGACCATTAACTACAAACAATTTCCATGACATTATGTCAAAAGCTTTCCTCTACATTACATTAATTAATGAATAAAGAATTATGCTGAATATATCTATCTCTTTGAAACAGCTAATAAGTTAAAGTAGCCCTCTTATTCACAAGCAATATGATCTCTAAACTATTGTACTGTCATGTGAGTTTACGGCATCATGAATTGTTACTTATAAAGCTAAATATTGAATTTTACAATCATGCCATGTTTATCTGATTATTCAAAATCTGTTAAAATTTTTCAAAGTTGTTACTTTATTCTTATCAGGGTTAAAACCACATCATAGATTGAAACAATACTCACCTATAGCCCATTCACAAAAGTCCAATCCTGACTCTGGATCATTGACTTCCCAGTTGACAAGCACTTCATCTTGTTCCCAGGAGTCTAGGTCCAACTCTGCACAAAGGGAGATATTTTATCTTATCTTATCAAATATACGAAGTTAAATAAACTATATCCTCCATGTCAAATAGTTTTGATTTTTATAGAATATAATTTGGAAAGTACATTGTCTTATGTAACTAATTATGGTGTTAGGTATATTGTGGTTAATATCTACCAGGGTTATAAGATACCAATGTGAAAACTAATCAACCAATGTTTACTCCATCAGACTTAATCACAAATGTTTATTATTCATTCATAGCAGTGAATAGTGCAAGAAAATGAGAGAAAAATCCCCAAGCATGTCCAGTAAATTCCCATGTATAGCGATTCCTATTTGGATGCAGAATACCAAGTGGTATATACCTGGTATATCTCGTTTAATATGGACTGATCATACTCAATATTTTTGACATCTTAAACTAGGTTTCCAAGCAATAGGTTCTTTGTTTTTAGGATAATATCATGTTTTCCTTGGACGGTCTTAATAACTCTTGGTGCCGTCTTTCCTTATTATTACATTGTTTTCTGTAACTAATTTGATAAATCTATAAATATCACACACAGTGTTAAGTACTTACCTGTTGTTCCTGTGCCTGAAAAATAAATATAAATACTCAAGTTAATTTAATAATATGCATTTCATTTAAGTAAGTCTTAAAGAGACAAACAAGAAAACTAGGTCAGACTAATAACACTTTTATCAAATTTCAACTGGTCTTTATATGTTCTTTAAATGTTGGATATTTTCCCTCCTAATAAGAATAAGAACTAATCATAGGGAGGCAACATATATTCTTTGGAACAAAACTTTTCCGAAACTGTCACATTGTGAAAGAATAGCAAGGTGAAGGTCTATCATCAATGTGAAGATGTACATACCTGAGCCATCATTGACAGCAGTGATGACAGGTGCAGTGAGATCTACCAGGATTGGTGAGGAATACGCTATACCTTGTAGCCCTGAAGTACTGGTAGCCACCACAGTGATGTATACCTCAGATTTGTGAACAAGGGTCACAGTGTTGTTGTAGGCAAATCTCTGCTGCCCAACACTGCGGAAATCCTGAACTTGTGTCCCTCCCTTTTTGTAACCTGAAGTAGTTAAAATAAAACAACAATATACTCATTTATGGTTTGTTTTTGGGTTCATCATCCCTTGAACAGTCAGGGTCAACTTCTCTGTTGATTATCTTATAAAATGCATGGAAGGCCTGTAGTATGCCATCCAGAGCAAATTAGGGTATTGTGTCTATCCCTAAACACAACCATGACAGCACAGACTGATCTGTTTTTCATATATATTATGTCACCTGTCAATACTTACCTATAGCCCACAGGTACTCTGTGATGTGACTCTCTGCCTCCACAAAACTCCAAGAGCCATGTATTGATCCCCATTCATGCAAAAACACCACATGCGCATTTACAGTGTCAGAGGTTGTGCTGTCAGTATGTGAAACATGATGTACCTGAATGTCGTCGATCAGTATTCCAGTACCCCTGTCCAAACTACCAAGTCTTAGAGTTGCTGAAGTACTGGACATGACAAAATAAAATGTGTGGTGATGCCAGGTGATGATCTCTCTTGTATCTGAGTGGTGGTCATCAAGACGGTAAGCCTTGGTGTACATGAGGAAGACATGTCGATCACCGAACTCCACAAAGCCCTCCTTATTAGCGATGACTGAGTCCACGCTGGGAAGATGAGAGGTGACAAACGTGACCCTGTACAGGCCGTCTACCTCAAGTCCACTGATGTCCTGGGACAGTGCACCTCGAACTATCACCATGGACCTACCATCTCTTGCCAGGTTGGTGTCAGATGACACAACGGCAACACATGTGTCCCAGGTACTTGTCCATTGCTGTGGGAGGTGTGAGGAATTCACATTACATATATCCGTGTTGTTGACATTGTCCCAGGAAATGGAATGGCCGTTACTGTTTTCAAATGACGGGTTTGTTGCCAGATTTACAGTGTCATAGTGGACCAGCTGGGATGGAATTGGTGGGGTGGTGTCCACTGTGACCCCATCTGATACAGCTGTATCAGACTGTTGTCCCAGACCATCTACAGCATACACCTTATTGTATACTCTCATACCTGGAATTACAGAATAATTTTTCACTTTTTATAGGGTATCAGTAGTGACTGTAATTCACTGAAGCACATAATTTTAAAGAGGGATAAAATGGAACATTTCATCTTTTAGTTCTTAAAATCAAGATAGGATTCATATTATAACATACCACTATTAAGAAAAATTACAGCTACAGTTAACATCATGTAAAAACCATCACAAAATAGTATGAATTGTTTGATACGATGATGAAAATCATAACTTTGCATATATGGGCACATTTATCTATATAATATGAAATAAAATAACTTTGAAACTTTGAAATGCTGCATATTGTTAGATTTACCATGAGAGAGCGATGTTGTCAGGTTAGCTCTGACAGCAGTGCGGAGACCTACAGCTTCCCACCGTTTCACTGAACACTCTGTCTTGCTTTGGGTGCTGCCCACACACCAGTAATACGTCTTCACTCCAGCGTCAAGGTCCACAAATCCATGCCACGTTGCCCCCAAAAGTGTGGTACTACTTTGGTACTCTAAGTCATGAATACCTGTATTACAAACATATCATACTTGATGTATTGATAACAATAACCTCATAGACATTAACATATACAAAAGGCCAAACGTTATCTATTGTTTCAAGAATTTTTTTTCAGATTAATTAGGTTTGCACACCAGTAAAATATTCCAACATGAAATCTAGATTTCTTTATGAAACATGTCCTGTAACCTTCATGACATTAATAAGATAGGCAGAATATAATCACTTAATGTAAATGTATTAGAAAAAGAATCAAAGACGATTCAGCATTGCATAATCTGTAAATCCACTCTCAGCTGTTAAATAATAACAAATAAAATTAACACTAAGTCCCACAGAGATATTGGCAGCTACAATTGTTTGTTCTTAACTTGTCCTTTAAAAGTTGGATCTTTCCCTTCTCTAATCTGTTTTTGCTCTTAAATATATTAAATTTGAATATTCTTAAGAAATAGTCATAATCATCTTTTTAACTGCCAAATCCAAGACTATCTGTTATTTATATTGTTTCTCTGATCAGTCTAAAAATCCAAAAGGGCACACCTAGGGACCAAGGGGAACCTACAAATTAAATTTGAGGAAGATCCATCTAGCATTTCCTTAGAAATAGTGATAACTAACTTTTGTTTTCAAAATTTGCGATGGTAGCCTGTCAATCATTTTATTTTCCTGTTCAATTTTAAAATCAAGTATGCTATGACTGGGAACCAATAGGAATTTAAATTGAGATTCAATTAACAGCCATCCATTACAACTGTACTTCTCTAGTAATGCCAATTTTTTATTGACAAAATAAATGATGGCTAGCTGTCAGTCATTTTAATTTTCTGACAAGTCCAAAAATCAAACTTGCGGTACAAGAGAACAACGGAAACCTACATATGAAATTTGAGGAAAAAGTTCACTTTGTATTTCTCAGGACATAGCAATAACAAAAACTGTTTAAGGCCCATCATCTGATGATGGCAAGAAATTGGCTGCAGAAATACAGTTGATGTATTACAAGGGTTCTTTTGTGATTCCAATGTCCACAGTAAATTTACTCAAACAGTTTATTAGTCAAAACAACAATTACAGAATTCCACATCACCAACATCATACACTTGTATGTGACATGAGTCATACATTTTTCACCACAAGATATAGATGTTAATGGTCACACAGTACAAACCTCTCCTGGTACTGCATATAGGGCAGTGAAGTTCTGATCCTAAAACACAGTATCACAATATCATGCAGATACAGTCACATCTATCATTCTCCAAGAAGTTGTGACATCCAATTCAATTTGTAACTAACAACATCATCACTCCAAGCACCAAATCAAACAAAAATCACCTTAAGTATATTTGGCAAAAATCTCCTCGCATTTTGTGATAGTGAATACCATACACAGAATAGGTGGCAGGGACAAAGGTTAATTGAAGTCTGTGAAGAAGAGGGGAATGTGATTATCTGAGGAAGGGAATTTCATGTAGAAGAAGTAGTGACCAACTGAACACCATAAAAGTGAAGAAAAGGAGAACTAAGGACAGGGATGGAAAGAGGGTATGAAGAATGGAGGAGAGTGTAGAAATAAACAAGCATACTGATATTGCTGAAGAAGTACATAGGTCAACTTTCAGCATCCCCAGGCTACAGCACTGTCAAAGATTTTCTAAAATAGTAACAATGACCTTGACAAAATAACCTGTAACTCAGGTCACAGTGTAACAACCTTGTCAAAGATCATTCGATGTATTATAAGAGTGTGAAGTTTGATGAGAATCCCTAAAGGAAAGAAGCCACTGGAGCGCTGACAATGATTTTCTTAAAATAGTAACAGTGGCCTTGACCCAACAACCCTGAGATTCATGCCTGTTTATATATATGTTTATTTGAAGCTTTAAAAGATTGTGAAGTTTCATGAGGCTCTCTACTGGAATGAAGCTGCTAGAGTAGTGACAATGATTTTCTAGAGATTGTACCAGTGACCTTGACACAACGACCCTGAAATTCATACTTGTCCAAGATATTTTGATGCTGAATAACTTTCTATGTGTGCAGTTTATAGAGAATCCTTCAAGGAGTGAAGCTGCTTGTCCCATCACCTACTGAGTATTAAAATACATAGGTTAGAAGAATATGAAAAGAATTAGAATTTGGATATCAAAGAAAGTGCACAAATTTAGATAAAAGGAAAATTATTTAAAGAATGAATGAAGGCAGTATTAAAAGATGGGGGAATATCCAACTAAGGAACAGAGACAGTGGAAAAGGATTTGTATCACAACAGCAGAGAATGATAAGGAAGGGATGAGGATGGACAAAATAAAATGTCTATTTCTACAGCTACACTTACCTGTGCCATCATACACTTTACCCATGACTGGCACTACATTGTCAATCACAAAGCCGTCTGACGACTCTGTGTGGTGCAGACCCGAGAAGCTATAGGCCACTACGTTGCTGTAATATTTGATACGAGTGTCCAGATTGAAGCGTGTAAAGTTGTAATTAGTGGTGGTTCCAGGGTAACTGGCTGCTACTATGTAGACGTCATCACCTGGCAACATATTCATCACAGAAGATTTTTATTAACACAAGATAAAAAGCTCAAGGTGTGTGAAGGTTTCCAGTTGGTTCCTAACAATGACCTACATGGTAAAACAAAAAAAGACAATTCTTGATAATATCAATTTATAATACATAAACCCTGAAACATACATACCTCCAGGCATGGTGCTGAGATATAGATTGAAGGTACGGATGTAGGAGGCTGCATTGAGAAACTTGTTTTTCCAGCTGACCATGAAGGGTTGGTACTCTAAAAAGTCCATGTCCTTGTGGTTGTGTTTGTGGTTTGATTCAGTCACCTGAAGTATTTATAATTGAAAACCATCAGTAAGTCTAATTTATCAGAGGCACAAACATTAAAATCTAGTAACACTTTTAAACTAGAAATTCACCACTTTTCACTTGTTTTTCTCAAAAGAACATTTTTTGTATTCATTGCAAGCTATACATTGATGATACATCTTTAGAATAAGTCACCAAAACTTCATCTACTAATCAAATTATGTATCTCAGTTCCATTTTTAAGATTGTTGGAAAAAGATTTGTTCTACACATTTGTTGTTAAAAACATTTGACCGTTGAGATGTAGGAAACTTGCATTCATTGAATACCACGACAGAAAAGCACTGAACTAGAAACTGGTTGTACTAATTACAATATCTGTATGTTGTTATCATAACATTTACTGTGTAAATTCACCATTGTGTCAATTAAAAGATAGTTACACACTAAAATTCTATTACATCATGCTTTCCCTATAATTCATTTAAGGAAAAGGCCACATACTGCACTTCCTCGTAGGTTGGTTGGAGTAGGCGGTGTTGTCATTATGGTTACACCAGAAGATTTGTAGATTGCATAGATATTGGAGGCATACCAAACCCTGATGAAAAATGCATAGGATATGCCCTCTGATAGAATAGGTTTTTCTGAAGAAAAGAAAAGAATCATTGATGCAAGTGTGACATATATCCAGGGGTGTAGGAAATTCTGTTACATACAGGTAAATTCATAATTTGTTGCTGATCATGATCAAGAATTCATGAACATTACACTTAAAAAAATCTACAATCAAACTTGTTAATAAAGTTTTTTATGCTTGTGTTTTTATTGATTTAACTTGCTAGCTGATCATTCCCTCAGGATTTTAAACATTTTTAATACACTTGACCCAAGTGACGACCTAAGGTCAAGGTCATTAATTATTCTGGCTTATCTCCACTAGATTGAACCCTAACCAGTCTTTGCATAACAAGTATGGCATTTGTTTTTGCTTTCTTGTTTGACAATTCTAATCAGTGTAAAGTGAAGAAGTCATTTAACCAGAACACTGAAGAGCTCATCATACGAACCCCGAGGAACCAGAAACAATTGCTGCATATTCTGTCCAGCATCATGCCAAATTCTCTCATCAGCCTGATGAAAAATCCCCTCAGGTGAGTCTAAGATCTCAAAGCAAACACTCCACTCAAACCTGTAAAGGAAGTGATTGTAACAGATAACATGCTTTATCAATTACCTGCTTTTTGGAATAAATATGACACATATATATGTGCACATTCTACCAAAGAAACATTGAACAAATGAAATGTTTAAGAAAAAATGAAATATTTTATGTTTATAAATTTTTGCCAATGAAATATAGGTATGATGATAAAGCAGTCAATCCAAAATGGCGTAGTCTTGTTGTCAAGTACAACGTCAATCTATCTGAGGACAGGGAGCACACAAATATTTCCCGAACTCTTTTTAAAACCTCTATAGTTTATGTTTGGATCAGCCTTTCTTTTATATCGTTTTCCTTTAAAATGTGATTAAAAGAAAATTTAATATTTTTTTCCATTAAATATCATATATATTTCACTAGTATGACTATAGAATATATCTACATTTTACATCCATGCAAAAATACAGATATTCTGTTATACATGTGAAATATATATGACATTAAATAGGAAACCATTATAAACCCTGTATTTATCTCCCTTGAACAACACTTACAGGAAACTTGCGAATACGATGGACCTGTCAAGGACTTACCAGAGGGGTTGTAATCCACTAAAGTCTGATATTTCCCAGGAGGCACCAAGTCCCATATTTGTGGCAGTGAAACCTGTGATACTGTCGAAGTCTTTCACATCCAGGGGAGAGTTAGGATTATCTGTAACAGTCAGCAGTTGTAATAATAATAATAAAAAATGGTAGAAATTATTTATGATTAACAAATTCTGAATACAAAACCAAGAAAAAAACAGAAAATAAATCATGTGAATATTTTGTTTTGACTGTCGAACAAGAGCTTCAATCAATATTACTGTCAATCAATTCCTATAACTAACTTGAAAGTTTTCTACACTTTACAAAATATAAATATGTCATGTACATTACTTTTTCGCACAGAACAGTTTCCTTTTTTTCAATTTAGCAAAAATATCATTCATTTGAGTATGATTCATATAAAATCTATGAATCTGTGTAATTTTTGTGTATTTTCATTGGTGAAAGAATTATTATTAAGGCCAGGATAATGGTCCAATAATGTTTTCAAATTTACCCTGTGAAGTGTAGTTGGTACATGGATCCAAGTGACTGTAAGGACACACATTGTCCTGCGGAGCGCATACACAGTGACCCAAACATGAGTACGAGTCACAGCGACGGACCAACTCCAGAGCACCGCCAGATATCTTTCTAAACATCGAGTGAATGATAGAGCTTGACAAGCCTACCTGTAAATAGTAATTAAAAGTATGCAAGTTAGTACACAAATCGAAAATAAGTCTTCTCAAGAAATCATGATAACAAATTATAACTGTCAAAATCAAAGATGGCCATTTTGTTTTTCTGATCAGTACAGAAATTGACAGTGAACTTCTTTTCTATGGACATTACAACCTGAAGAAAGTGTGTCAAAAGAAGGTGGTGATGCATAAGTTGGAACCAATGGAAATCAACATATGGAATTTGAGGACAATTCATCCCTATGTCTTAAAAAACAGTGATTACAAGATTGTTCAAGGATGGACATTGGACCCTGATAGATGAAGGAGCAATTTGACAGCCCTATATATGATGAAAATGGACTAATAAGCAATGTTACTTATATAGAATTGATGACAGAAGCCCTGCTGGAGGTCTATCAGTGTAATGTTACTTATATAGAATTGAGGATGGAAGCCCTGCTGGAGGTCTATCAGTGTAATGTTACTTATATAGAATTGAGGATGGAAGCCCTGCTGGAGGTCTATCAGTGTATTGTTACTTATATAGAATTGAGGACGGAAGCCCTGCTGGAGGTCTGTCAGTGTAATGTTACTTATATTGAATTGAGGACGGAAGCCCTGCAGGAGATCTGTCAATGTAACATACTGTGTTTACTGCCCACATATGTATGAAAAGAGCATTGGAGGCCTTGCTGAGGTCCTGTGTGTCTATCTTGGCACTCTGTATGTGGCCTTCCTCCTGCACCTCACTTATGTTGCTGTGTGGCACCGATACAGGTATTCCTGTCACCTGTAAGGGGAAGAAAATATTAACATTAGCTAAAGCAGTATTACACTGTCACATCATCAATTTCTGACAAATACATACTGATACATTTTTATTATCATATATGTTCATAGATTTATATTTCTGACAAATTGAGCCACCTTGGTAACTATAATCATTAATGTGTTGACAACACGACATCTTTATTTGTATATTCAGGTGTAAGCTTCTAACCACTAACCCCTAGATCATAAGTTTGAGAAAAGCTGGCAGCAGGTAATGTCTGTTGGATTACTTGTTTTCACACTGATGCTGAGTTTGTTTTCACTTTACAGGTTTTCCTCAAATAGTGCAGTAAAAGCTCTTCAGAGCTAGATACGCTCCTATGTTGAAGTTTATAACAAAAAAAAAACATATTTTTTCCTACTGACTTTGCTTGTTACCTTATTGAGATCACTAGCCATGTAGGTCTTGCCGACATTGACCAGGTAATGCGACACTTCAGAGTGGAGATCAGCAAATCCAATCCAGGAAAGGTAAAGGGCACGACTGGTCCACGTCATAGAGTTAGGTACTTCCCGGTTTATATCCGAGGCATGATTTGTTTTGATGGAAAACATTCCTAAAACAAAATTTAAATATGAGGCTACTACTTGATGCACTAGTCCATTCACTTCAACGAGACACTTAATTATTCCAAAAGCTGGTTCTATCCTTAGACTGTGACCTCTACATTTTATACCAATAAGCTATTCTCAAAAAAATGTAAAAAAGTTGACCAAAAAATTGATTTTCTTTTTGTGATTTTTTTTTGTGAAACTTATACAAGAAAAATTATTTATATTAAAATATATTAGAATTATGAACTGCACACATTCCCCTCCAATTTTTTATCTAGGTAATGAGCTCAACCTAAACAAAATCTAAAAACCTTAACTTTTTAAAAAAGCCGGTCAAGGTCATCAGAATGAGAACATTCCTATATGACTAAAGCCAGTAACAATGTCTGTAAATACCTCTGGAGGGAGGAGAAGAGTCAACAAAGATGGCATCCGATTCTGTCTGGGAACATATTCCCGCCCCGTTACAGGCAATCAGGTTCACATAATAGTTGACCCCATCATGCAGATCAAGACCTGTGAAGGTGTAGTCTCGTACGATTCCATTGACCTTTAAAAAACAAGCTGATTTATACCAAATGCCCAATATCTTCATGTCATCAGTATATTTTTTGTTCTAAAGACATAAAGAAAAGAAACAAATAACAGTAGATCTCTGGACAGTAGGTCAATTAAAAATCATATCAACAACTGGAAATATTGATGTTTGTAATCTTTGTAGGATAATTTTGACTTTCCCTTAGAGATAATGGCTCTTTATATACAGGTACTTTCTTTCTCTATATGCCTTTATAGACAGGTGCTTACCTTTGTAGGAGAAAGCTGGAATTCTCCATTTTTATGGCCCTTTACAGACAAGTATTTACTTTTGAAGGAGAGAGCTTGAATTCTCCCTTTTTTTGTTGGTCTTTATAGGCAGGTACTAGCATTTGTAGGCAAGACCTGGAATTCTCTGTTTCTGTGGGTCTTTATAGACAGGTACTTATCTTTATTGAGGGGAGGCAGAATTCTATGTTTCTGTACTAGCCTACAGTGGCAGTGTTATCCACTTTATTTACCTTTGTAGAGGACAGCTGGAATTCTCCATTTCTGTGGGCCTTTATAGACAAGTGTTGTCTCTCGATAAGAGATTCAGCATCCTCTGCAGTCCATGTCACCTTAAATGAATCTCTCAGAAAAAGTTTCCCTGATATGAGCACACCAAGATCTTCAGACAGCGCAGGTTTGGTGATTACTGGGGCAGTATTATCTACTGTAAACCCATTTGAAACCGTATCCACATATAAACCTAAAACAAATAAAAACTACATTAGTCCAAAAGACAGTCGGAGATATATTTGAATTGGCCTACAGACAGTCTGTGATGTATATGTATTTGGACTGGCCTACAGACAGTCTGTGATGTATATGTATTTGGACTTGCCTACAGACAGTCTGTGATGTATATATATTTGGACTGGCCTACAGACAGTCTGTGGTGTATATGTATTTGGACTGGCCTACAGACAGCCTGTGGTGTTTATGTATTCGGACTGGCCTACAGACAGCCTGTGGTGTATATGTATTTGGACTGGCCTACAGACAGCCTGTGATGTATATGTATTTGGACTGGCCTACAGACAGCCTGTGATGTATATGTATTTGGACTGGCCAATAGACAGCCTGTAATGTATATGTATTTGGACTGGCCTACAGACAGCCTGTGGTGTTTATGTATTCGGACTGGCCTACAGACAGCCTGTGGTGTATATGTATTTGGACTGGCCTACAGACAGTCTGTGATGTATATGTATTTGGACAGGCCTACAGACAGTCTGTGGTGTATATATATTTGGACTGGCATACAGACAGTCTGTGATATATATTTTTTGACAGGCCTACAGACAGCCTGTGGTGTATATGTATTTGGACTGGCCAATAGACAGCCTGTAATGTATATGTATTTGGACTGGCCTACAGACAGTCTGTGGTGTATATATATTTGGACAGGCCTACAGGCAGTCTGTGATGTATATGTATTTGGACTGGCCAATAGACAGCTTGTGATGTATATGTATTTGAACTGGCCTACAGACAGTCTGTGGTGTATATATACTTGGACTGGCATACAGACAGTCTGTGGTGTATATGTATTTTGACTGGCCTACAGACAGTCCGTGGTGTATATATATTTGGACAGGGCTACAGACAGTCTGTGATGTATATGTATTTGGACTGGCCTACAGACAGTCTGTGGTGTATATATACTTGGACTGGCATACAGACAGTCTGTGGTGTATATGTATTTGGACTGGCCTACAGACAGTCCGTGGTGTATATATATTTGGACAGGGCTACAGACAGTCTGTGATGTATATGTATTTGGACTGGCCTACAGACAGTCTGTGGTGTATATATACTTGGACTGGCATACAGACAGTCTGTGGTGTATATGTATTTTGACTGGCCTATAGACAGCCTGTAATGTATATGTATTTGGACTGGCCTACAGACAGCCTGTGGTGTTTATGTATTCGGACTGGCCTACAGACAGACTGTGGTGTATATGTATTTGGTCTGGCCTACAGACAGTCTGTGGTGTATATGTATTTGGACTGGCCTACAGACAGTCTGTGGTGTATATATATTTGGACAGGCCTACAGGCAGTCTGTGATGTATATGTATTTGGACTGGACAATAGACAGCCTGTAATGTATATGTATTTGGACTGGCCTACAGACAGTCTGTGGTGTATATGTATTTGGACTGGCCTACAGACAGTCCGTAGTGTATATATATTTGGACAGGGCTACAGACAGTCTGTGATGTATATATATTTGGACAGGGCTACAGACAGTCTGTGATGTATATGTATTTGGACTGGCCTACAGACAGTCTGTGGTGTATATATATTTGGACTGGCCTAGACAGTCTGTGATGTATATGTATATTGACTGGCCTACAGACAGTCTGTGATGTATATGTATTTGGACTGGTCTGCTGACAGTCTGTGGTGTATATATATTTGGACTGGCCTACAGACAGTCTGTGATGTATTAGGACTTGCCTACAGACAGCCTGTGATGTATATGTATTTGAACTGGCCTACAGACAGTCTGTGGTGTAGTAGAAATGGTCTTACGAACCTGCTTTGTTGTAAGCCCTCACAGTAATGTAGATGGACTGGCCGATAGGTAAGCTTGAAATAGCTGGATTGGTAGCAACCTCTGACAGGTGTAGAATTTCCTTAGCCAAAACATCATCGGTACCCCTATCTGTTCCTGCCCACCATTCATAGTGGTCAAGTCCTGACTGCGGATCGGAAAACCCATACCACTTGGCTCCTATGTATGTCCTACAAATAGGATATAGTCTTGTGTCAGGACTCAAAACAAATCGGCCTCATTGTTCACTTTAAAAAATTTGCATGAGTCACTCAAACAATTTGAAATAGTAATGTTCAAGACCTTTGACATGAAATCTAACTGATTCAAAAGGAATCAATGTAAACCAACTTGGTTTAGCAAATCATTCAATCAGGTAGTCATTTTCAAGTCACATAGGTGGAAATATATCTAAACTTCATACAATATTGACCTCTTCTATTGTAGAAACAGCAACTTAGACATTTATAGAACTTGTTTAAGCCCCATATCACACTTTTATGTTCAATAATATCATGAAGTAAATTAGCAGGAATATTTCACTTTCAAGAATAATTTTTAGGAAATTTGTAAGTAAAGAAGATATTTAGTGACTGACTGTGTTGCCTGGTAATGGATGTCTGAGGTTAAAGTCCCATCCTGAACCGCTCCAGCAGTTGGTGGACTATTGTCCAAAATGAGTCCATCAGAAGTAGCAGAGGAACACAGGTTGGCTGTATTACACGCTGTCACTGTTGTGTAGTAGGTCAAACCCACGCCAAGATGTTTCATTGACAACACAAACTCTGTGAAAAGGGATAACAATTTCCAGAATAAAAATCCTACAACATACCCAGGAAAAAGCTCATGTTGGTTTGATAAAGGTAAGATTCCTAATTAGTATGATCATCGGTCTAACACAGGTAGGATCCCTAGGTAGTATGATCACTGGAGAATGATACCATTAGGTATGCAGGGAGTCAATCAATAGTGATAATAAAATATTGTAGGTAGGAGTGTTTTCAACATTATCTAGCTTCACAATTAAAGTAGGGGAAACTCTTGTATCACATGCACACAGGTTTCACCAGTCATGACCCTAGCTGTGACTGGTGAAACTCGTCAGTATGATAGCTTGTGAAGTTGGTTAATAGTGAAAACACTCCTACCCAAGATGTTTCAACAATATGTAACTGTCAAATCTAAGATGGCCACCTGTGAGTCATTGTCTTTTTCCAATCAGGAATTTATTGAATTTCTATTGAAGCCTTCTACACAGATAGTGATAACAAGAATTCTTTAAAGATGGGAGAAAGGACAGAGAGACGAAGAGTGATTTGAATGAAATAAAAATAAATTAAGGGTGATTAAAAAAAAATTACCTAATTTTAAGATTTTCACTTTGTGAAAAGCCAAGTAAATCTGAACATCAAAATGATGTTTATAGACAACATGTTAATGTTTCATTGTCAGAATCCCTAGCTTTCAATACCTACCACTGGTGATACCAACGGCCTGTGTTTCCAGTACTTCCTGACAGCCGCGACAAGTACCGATGCTGACAGAAAACTCGCGAATGTTGGAATGTGCATCATGAAAACCTTCCCAGTATGCAGCAATGTAAGTTCTGTCTGTCTGAAAGTCTCTGTCCTTTTGATTGATGAGGTGGTCCTCAGGTTTGCCATCATACACGTGGCCTATGACAGGGGGAGTGAGGTCTACAGTTACAGCCCAGGACGAGGCAAGAGAGTAAAGTCCAGCTCCATTATACGCCTGGAAATGAAACACATCCATTGAGCCAGGGTATAATAATATAACAGAGGTCTTGATTAATTTCAATACCCCCACTATTGAACCTTGGACCTCTGGCTTACTAATCTTACACTGGACTGATTAAGCTACAGTGGTTTTCTTTCTAATCAAGCTGTATATTACAGCTAGTATTTACCAGGGTTATACATACTACCTCTACAGGAAGGAGTTTGTCCTTGAGTTTCTAGGGGTTACAAGGATGCCTGTGGGACAATGTTGATTCCTGAATCCCTATACTTCAATCTCAAAAGAAGTAATATGTTGTGTGCAAGTTTTTAAGTATCAATTTTAGTAGATAGACCTTTACAATGCAATGGGTAGGATTCATCCTATTACATATAAAGTGTAGAGTGGAAATAATCAATAAAGGAATAAATGGTTATATCAAGAAAATGCTGCATAAGGTCCAAAGCAACAAAGTATGGAGTGTCAAATTTATCTCACTGGATTATCTCCCTTACACAGGGAAAGGGATTCATTCAGTTGTGTGGGTGTATGAAATTGTAAAGCTGTTTCTGAAGGTTTTCAAACAATTAACTTTTTTTCCTTTATTTTTCAGTTAATTAGCAGTCATATGCTTATCCACAAAGCATTTCAATGCCATGAGAGAACACAATAATGTGACATTTTAGGCATGACTTCTGCAGGGTGTCTTACTTACCTTGATTGTTATGTAGTATGCATGTCCTTCGTGAATGTCAAGGACAATATTACCATCCTGAACAGCACAGACAACATCTCCCACATCTGTATAAGACAGAATGTCGTCGTAGCCTGGCTCAGAACCTACAGCCCACATGTACCTCTGTATTCCACTTTCCAGGTCACTAAATACTTCCTTCCAGCTGTCAACAAACATTATCAATTTGCAAGCACCTTCTGTCAAACAGGTAAACATAATATAGTGACATGTCATACAGGTAGACATGATAGAGCGACATGTCATACAGGTAGACATGATAGAGCGACATGTCATACAGGTAGACATGATATAGCCACATGTCATACAGGTAGACATCAGACAACTGGTAAGTGCAATAGAGGTAATCACTATACAGGTACACGGCACAGGTCAATATCATACAGGTACACATCAGACAGGTAAATGACATACAGGTAAGGTCAATATCATACAAGTAAACATCACACAGAAAATAATCATTATGTAAAGTAGATGTACATCTTATGTTGAAGAGTCAATATGTTACCCACCAGGCCCCTACTCCTGTACGTGAATTAAAGTGTCGATCAATCTTGATTGATTTGTCACTTTTAATGGGTGGAGTCACATCTATGATAACAGCATGACTCATCTGTGTGGTACTCCTCCCAGCAAAGTCCTTAGCTATAAAAACGCAGAGAATAATTGTTTAACCATCTTCATTGATTTACCAATGATACCTAGAAAACTTTATCATTATTTGTAAAATTAACTGATAAAATAAAAGATAAAATGTTAAATGTTTGAAAAATGATTTCTCAGAAATAGTGTTCTATTTAATCACTCTTCATGGACTATTTTGTACACCTGTAGAAGTAAATAACAAGACAACAGGTAAGAGTGTTCCCAACATTAACCTGCTTCACAAAATAAGTAGGTCATATACTTTAATTACTTGCTATCCTAAAATAGGCAACCTAAAACATATGTCCTTGAGTGTTTACCACAACATAATGAAATAGCAGTTGTAGGTGAACAATTCTAAAGACAACAATATCAAAATGTATATGGATAGACTTATTCTGTCTTTTGTAATACAGAGTTATCTGCTCTGGTCAGCAAGTACTGATTATATATATATACAACAATTTTTGTGAGAGAATAATGTCATATTTGTGAGAAAATGATGCAAATTTCTCCCGCAAACAATGAATACCTGCTCACAAGGGTAGATAACTCTGCATCAGAAAAAGATGGAATCATTATGCTGAAGATTCAAATGTTATCTCACCATAATGTTACTCTAAAAAATACTTACCTGTTACAGTAGCATAGTAGGTGTGGCCATTCTGGAGCTGCAGACCATGAAATGCAACATGGTTACCTGCCCCTACATCAGTAAAGTCCACCATATCATTACCACCTGCCGTTGTTCCTGAAAAATAACATGTTATCAGTGACCCATAGTTGTTTTTTTCCTCTACATGAACTTTACCAGTTCTGTCATTCCTAGCCAGTCACTAATTTTCTGATAGTCGAGCATAAGATATCATCATATTACCTTTATGGTGCTACAAAAGGTAGATATTGACTTGTGATAAGAATATACAATCAACCTTTAATTGTAATACATTTATAAAGACCTAATGTATCTAATACCTATGCTGACATTGTAGGCCTGGATGCCTGTGGAATGTGAGGTGGTGCTGAACTCCTCCACGTCTACAAATGTTTCCCAGTTCACATAAATATCTGTGAGGATGGTCTGCAAGTAACAGATAAAGTAAGGAATTGATTCTAAAACTGAAAACTATTTGAAACAAACAATAAAATAACTCTTGATTTTGTACTTTACTCAGTAAATTCAAATACTGGAAGTATAAATGTATTTGGCAATGCTAACTTTAGGACCATGACAAGAAACTTTGAATTTGTTCTTGATTCAATGTTTGCTTAAAGATAGTATCACTCTTAATGATTCTGGAGAGTCAGACTGATCAAACCAGAAAACAAAGACTACACAGGGTATTGACAAGTATTCATAAAATATTGACTCCAAGATGTAATCATGTTTTTTCTTTACAAGAATCTGAAGTTGTAAAATAAACTGCAGGATAGTTACTTGGTACAAACTGCCTGGAACATGTCCTATCCACACGTTACCAGGAATGGGTGGAGTCAAGTCCACAACTACACCATCACTGCACATGCTCACAGCCTCCAATGTTTGGGTCCATGTTTCCTGTTGTATGACAGTACTGCCTGCATGTAGACACACGATGTAGCGAGCACCGTGCTGTAGCTCTCCATCACTAAACTCTGTGTTCATATACTCCTTATCTAAAATGTTAACGTATTTCACATTACTTGAGTTCCTCCAAGACCTTATATTTCTTAAGAGTACCATTTTCTGCTATTGTCTGGTACAACATACTAAATAACTGGCTCATGAGTAGTTGAAATGTATTGTAAATTGCTTAAATTTTGCAAATACTATATATTGCAAACTTACCTGTTCAGACATTTTCACGAATTTCGTAAAATGCTGATCTAGAAATGACTTAAATTTGCGAATGATAAGCTATTAGATACCAGGACGTATACCAGAATAATCAGAAAGGATTTGAATCCATGATTATCTTTCCTTGTTTAGTAGTGTGAACATAAATCCTACACAAAATATAAGTGATTTACAGTAGTTACACAAGAAAATGAGATGAAGTATACTTCAAGTGCATTTGGATGGAAAATCTGCAGTTTAAATGCAGCGAATTATCAGTTGTCTTCTGATTGGTCAATAAACGATCAATACATTTTTACACAGCACCAAACTTCATCAAACTGATACAAGCAAATATCTCTTCTACAATGTCATTGGATTTCTGTGATGTGCGATATAATAATTCCTTTAGTCAATGGTAATTACTTAATATAAACTGAGAAAGGCTACAAAGATTTACCTGTGTTGCCACATTTGATACTCTCGGGATGTGAACACGGGTCAGGGAGAGACAAGAGATTGGTAGGGTGATAGTATGATGTCACATCCATTGCCACACCTCTCAGCACTGCATAGGTGTAGTTACGATGTCGAAGGTCAGGCCACACAGCGGAGATTATGTTAGAGTAAGGAGTGTAGTCCACATCGCTATGTTTCCATAAAGCATTCTGTTGGAGGAAGATTTCTTTGCCATAGCCATTCTTCAAGGCACCAGCTACAAGTAACAGTGATTTTATACTTGAATCCATCCTTTTGAGAAGGATCATATTCAGGTCAATGTTGTCAATCAATTATAAAGTAGGAATTCTAACTTTATATTATGTTATTAGGTAGGTAGTCTATCACCATTAATTTCAGCAGCATAATCATAGCTAAGAGTTCGTCTTCTTAATTGTCCATCATCCATAACAGTTAACTGATCCACTTCTAACCAAAATCTTATAGCATTAAATGAAGAGGTTAATTCGCTGTTTTCATTGTGTTTAACTTATTATAAGGAGGTCTAGTGAAGACTGTTGGGTATCCTCACAGATTTCTACCACAATCTATTTCTGAGCGACAAACATCATGATGTTGGTTTCTCAACTTTCAAAATGTTCCCCTTTTCCTAAGTTTAGAGCTTGCTTCACTAATTTCAAATCCATTCCGTTGTGTTTTGTCTTCTTATAAATATGACTATGTAGAAACAATTCATAACAAGGCACCATGCGTCGTACTTACTCTCATCATACTGCTGCTCCCCCACAGCATCTATAATGGTATTAGGTTGGATGAGTATCGGATCAAATGCAGCACAATCCAGGATCTCTCTTGACACCACTGTCCATAGCTTTGCTTTGTTGTAACCACGCACAGAGAAACGTTTACATCGTGAAAAGTCCATCTCACCAGTCAAACTCAGTTCAAAGGTCAACTGCAACATACAATTGCAATAATGTTATGCATTTACTGCAAGCTTTGAAAATGTATGATAACCATAATGATCCAGGGACACGGATGAGTTATAAATTTTTTAGTTCCTCTCAAATTTATCATCAACTTTTGTTTACTTCATCTTCATTCTGGAGTTGAATAAGGTGTCATTAGTTGTGTTTCAAATCTGTCTATATTTCTTATGCATCCTGTAATATTTCAATAATTCAATATTTTTCAAAACGTTTAAACAATAAATATGGATTTACCTTTGATTTGAAGGATAATTCAGGTATATTAGGTTTGAAGGTTATTTATATATTAATAGAAGTGAAATCCAGAGTCCTACCTTGCTTGCAGTGACGGAGAATGTGCTTAGATCTGTCCATTGTGTGAAGATCTTTCCACTGACAGAATTATCAGTGATTGCCCATTCATACTTCTCAATGGCATCGTACTTGGCGGTAACATCAGCAATGTCAGGATCATAAAAACGGTCCATTTGTACAACAAGCTGAAATAGCAAAAACAGAGTCCAGCATTTCTTGGGCAGACATAATTTAATATACAGTCAAACTTCATTAACTCAAGGTTGTCGGGGTCCTGAAAAAAACTTTGAGTTTTCTGAGTTTACAAGTTAAACGAGTTTCAATGTTTGCTATAGATTTTGTATAATACACACTACAGACTGACGCCACCAACAAAATGCTTCGAATCAAGATGAGCATTCAAGTTTCCCTATTCCAATTAATAAAGCCCAACTATACTGTTTCATCTTTTATCACAAACATTTAACAGATATGTTTATATCATCAGTTTTCAATACATATTTTTCTGAGTTTCGGTGAAAATATTTAAGTTTTATATTAAAGATTTCATTTCCATGGGTTTTATTCACCATCTAGCATACAATTTGTGTATTGTATACTATTAAAGTAATGCTATGTAATTAGAAACATGACCATTCGTTAGCATAATGTTGCCTATGCAATGGCTATTCATGATTATGTCACCTACAGAACTGTATACCTTTCCAAAGGTTTTCCATTGTCTTATAATGTTAAGAACACCAACATACATCTATCAAGGACAATAAGAGCCAATCCCATATTCATTCTTTATTCCAAATGCTTCAAACTGTAATGACGTCACCAATACCATAACTGTGTTAAAACCAACCTTCTCCACCCCTCCACCATCTGTAAGATTGAGATGAGTGACCATCAAGCTTCCAGTGATGGGTGGGTTAGAAAGAACCAAGACACCATCAGTATATATAGGAGCATAACAGGTCAGGCCAGCACACAATTTCAGAGCAACCCGATACGATCGTCCTGGCAGAAGGATGAGGTCATTTGCCTCCACTTCATATGATGTTGACAAATGCTCAAAATCACGCACCACAGTCCAAATACCTGTTGAAGTGACATTTTTCTGTAAAGTTTCAATTTTTGTTAAATCCTGCAGCATGATTATCAATAAAGAAAATACAACATTTTGTACTACTGCATGTTTCAGCATAGCACAATACATAATCATTCAGTACTATTGAAGGAAGGATTGTCAGCTCTTTTTCTACACTCTTCTTCCTTATAAATTTTAAACAAAGAAATATTAAGATCCTTTTTCAATTTTGTTAAGTTACACAAATTCAAACATCTAGAGTATATCAGTCGAGTTACCTCCCCCTGCTGCATCTTCCTCTTCAATTGCCCAGTGGGCATCTGGAGTGTAGTAACGTATGGCAGGTGGAATGGTCCAGTAGGCCTGCATCATGTTGAGTGTCATTTGGAAATCCCTCTCTTCATCACAACGCACACGATTATCCTAATAAACATGAATCAGCTTATCAAATAGATACATTTATGAGACTCCAAGAATAAGTTCCTCAATGTATTAAAACGTTAAGAATCCATGAACTTATGCAAGCCACAATCATTACACAACAATAGAAGTTAAGGTATCCATCAGTATTCATTAGCACTTTCAGAACTAGACCAACTTACCTGTTCATGGTGGTGGAACAGTGTGCCATCATCCACTGTAAGACACAAACAAAAATCTGGCATCAGCTTTTCATGGACACTTTGATAAAAGAACACCTCTCTCGCATCAAAATTGACCTAGACTGCTATATCATTCTAAACTTGAAGACTTTATTTATGAGACTCCAAGAATAAATGTTGACTTAAATCAATTCCTTTATTTTGGAGTTGGGGTTGGAGGGTTGGGGGAGAAAAAATATAAAAAATATCACAAAATACCACGAAACAGTGTTGTTGTGGACAGGGCTATGGGGGGTTTCAATTTTGTGAAACTGATCACTGTAAATTAAATTATAAACAAACAGAAGACTAACCAGTAAAGTTACATGGTTTGCCATCATACACTTCAACCCCTGTTAGAGTTGCTCCCTCCTGGATAACTGTGACACCGTCAGACGTTACACTGACACTGCCGACTGACGTCACAGCCTCGACTGTAAAGTAGTATGTCTGAAATACAAACCAGTGCCACATCAGTAACAGGTACAAGGCTTAAAATATCAATTAAAGTTACATTAACTGAAGTACATATTGGAATCGTGGAACATTCACAAAATTGTGACTGGCGTTGAATCAAACTGACAGAAAATGACTTAAAAAAATTGAGATTTGTTAATTAACTTGAGTTAATTCAGTGAAGGCAAAATAAAGAAAAAAGGAAATAATAAAAAAAATTTAAATATGCAGACTAAGTTAAAAAAACCCAATTAAAAAAAAAAAAGTTCTCCTGGTATCAGAATGTGTCTCACCTGCCAATGGACAAGACTAAGTCCAGTTTTCTCAAAGGTGTTGTTGGAGGCCACAATGGCTGGGCCATAGACCTCAGAGCCTCCTGACGTGGTACCTATAGCGATACGGTAGGTAATATCCAGATGAGGGTGATTAAAATTCATCCATCTCACCTGAAGTCTGGACTGGTCAGTTTGAAAGTCTGAATCCTCAATATCCTATGACAAACAAGGACCATCAGTATCGTTACTTTAAACAACCCTAAACATGAAATTATAAAAAATTATAAAAAAATAAAAACATGATATAGTCAGGATTTTGTTGACATTAATGTTTTTTTTTTAATCATTTTTTTTTCATTGTTCAATCTTAATGTCTTGTGCTTTTTCATGGCGGAAATGACTGTAATCGTCCAACTCTAACAGAAAATGAAATTCAATCTAATGATGCAACATTATCATATCTTGTTGTATATTATCAATACTAATTATTTATGTCAAACTTACTGTGTAGGGTACTGCATTCTTATCACTCTGCAACAAAATTTAACGTTTCATCATTTTTTTTTTCATTTAAATTTGTTTTGCAACTGAAGGAAACAAGAAATTGTCTGCAAGACATGAAAGCCACCAAATGCCCATGTATGCAAGTATCACTGAGTGAGGAATTTGCAGTAGTCAAAAGTTGTTAAAATGTGACCTTTGACCCATAACTTAACTTAACCTTATCATTTACAACTTGATGTTATGATACTATTGAGTAAAGAAAAAGTAAATATGAACTATATATATATCTGGAGGTTAAGATACTGGACATTGATTTGGAGTGGGGCAAAACAATTGTACATAGATACATCATAACACTGTATATGAAGGTTGCGATTAAAGTACAGGCAAATTTTCGGCGAAATAAACAAACATGTTACTCTCTATAAAATATGTCATAAGACCAAACTTCAAACCCGAAATATGGCAACACAGAATACCAAATATACCCCTGCCTGACAGGGAGCAAACTTTAGAGTTCTATCAAGGAGTGTTAAGGGAAACATCTCCAGAACACTTTGTTTTTAAATCAGGTATTTTTTTTATGCAAACTGTAACTATTGACAACTTACCCCCACTGGTACATCTAGTACCACACCCTTGGCAGCCAACTGTACATCATGGAAATATGCATTCGATGTTGCTGCTACAAAAAGACCAACAGAGTTCTCTGCCCTGACAGTGACATAGTAAGCATGGTGACCATGTAAATCCCAGTCCAAAGCAGCCACCAGGGCAGCTGTACAATCAGGCACAGCACTTAAAGTACAGGTGGCGCCACCTGACAACGGTTTGTACTGCTGGACATCCACTCCATACTCGCTGTGTCCTGAGAAGAAAACCAGAAGTGTATGAAAAATTATACACTATAGGTTTCGACAGGCAGAGCCTAGTAAAGAGATTTTGTTAACAATGCTTGAAAAAAATTAAATTCCAAGGTTTAAAAATCAAATGACATTATAGTCTTGGTGATTTTGAAATCTGAAGGGCTGATACGTTAAATGTGTTAATTTTCTTATGCACTAGAAATATAAAATATTGGGAAAAAATATTACATAAAATATTATTACCGAAAGTTCATATATCAAATTACTCTCACCAATGGCAAAGCTGTAAAAAAGCTCATAATACTCTTCTGTATCTACAAAATCTGTGGAAGTCCAGGTAGCTACCAAATGGTCACCAACTAAGGTTGCAGTCACTGCTCCACTGAAGGTTGGGGCAGTGGTATCCAACAGGAATGGCCCAAGAGTCTGCAAATGTCACAGGAACACAGTAGTGAAATGTAAACTGAGCTCACACCAAAACAAAGGACAATCGTGTTAAGTAACACTGTATAATTATAACCATTTTAACATTTTTTGGTATTTCAACTATATTTAGTAACAGTGACCTTGTCATTTGACATCAAACTTCTGAAGACAGAAATGAAGGTGGAATGGATGGTTGAGTGCAATATATATCCCCTTCGTTGTACTCTAAATCACAGACTTTGAAGAAAAGAGTTTGACATTTTTGTATTCATATTCTACTTGAAGCTAACCCACCTGTATATTTTCTGTTTCTGTCTTGCTGATGGTTTTTATGGCCATATAAAACTCAGCACCTGTGGATACATCTTCGTGGCGGAGAGTGATGTGAGTATTTTGCCTAGATGAAATGAAGCTGAAGATGTCTGGAGCAGCACTGCCACCTGCCGTACTGGTTAGTCCAAATTCATGGTCAAACACTCCTCCAACAGTGTCCTCGGCCAGCCAAGAGACAGTCAGACTAGAAGATTTATGTAACATCACTGCAACTGGTGAAGGTGCTCCAGTGCTGTTATCACAAAATGTGTCACCATCGACCTCTACCTCTGTCATATTGTCATAACGCTCCCTTGGAAACAGGTCAAGGTCTGACACCACTGTGGCTTTGGCGCTGTGTGTAGAAGTAACATTGTTATGATTATAAGTAATTTTTCACTTCTTATTGTCAGATACTGCTCATGCTCTATCACAAATTAAGGCTATTTTCTCAAATATGTTTCCAAACGAAACTAGTTTTCCTTTCAAAATTTTTACATGGTTATCTTCAAATTTTTTCTTTGGGTTCAATATTACAAAAACTGCTTCTTCACTTCATATCAAACAATCTGTTCAGACACTGTTGGCACTGCATCCTGTAATCCATTTATAAGTTCTTACCGACAAGCTGCAGTGGTGGTAGAGAGTTGTCTTAGTGTGCGGTCAGTACCGAGTATCCATACAGCTGTGGCTCCGGGGTCAGTCACCAGGCCACCTCTGACCATGGCTGTATCCACAGAGATCTCCTTTATTGCTGTTAGGCCACTGTCTATGGTGACTCCATCCGAACACACAGGTACAGATGGTTCTAGGGCATGGTTAAAGGCCACCACTGTTACAAAATACACTCCCTGACCAGCAGCTGTATGACTAACATCAGTGTCAGTCGTTTCTATGACCTAGATAACAGATTAATTTTCTTATGAAACGTTTCTTCCCTTATCAATGTATAAAGTCTAATGTGTGAATAATTACAGCACAAAATTGTAAAAGAAAGGCAGTATGGTTCTTTTACTTTAAATTTTCATTTAGAGTACACTCAAGATCACACAAAATGTAAATCTGTAAAATACATCATTAGACGCAATCATGATACATAAGTACTACTGAAGAAATATATTATATATTTTGAGTACATACAGTTGGATCAGCCGAATCTAGAACCATGGTTGCCGAGTCTTGACATGAGGTTGCAAACTTGTACAAATACATCTTAACTCCACTCTCACGGTCAAAAAAGCCTTCCCAGTGTGCACTGAGGCTCAGCGACTGCTGGTAGTCAACTTCTAGTGACCCACGAACTCCATCGTGGACGACCCCCGTGTGTGGAGGTGACACATCAATTGTAATCTACAACAAAGAGACATGTACTTGGTACTATATTATATATGTGTTTTCTTTCCAGGGTTTGAATTATCTCAGTTTTTCTATAAGTATGATGCCAGAGAATTAATGTTTGTGGAAGTCATAAAATGGATGACCATTTTTTTACTTATTCTATTTTCATGGTTTTATTCTATCATTGAAAATGGTGAAAAAATAAAACTTATAGTAAACTATGAAAATAAATTTGAAACAAAGTTTGTAAAATCTTAAATCTAAGTTATTGAAAAAGAAAGTGATGCAGAGAAAAACAGCATATCTGAAAATTAATTTTCGGTACCAATACCTCAAATGAAAATTGTTTGTCATTGGCATCATTGTGCTGCATTGGTTCTTAATAAAACAAAGTAAAATAACATAATGTTAACAGGAAGAGTACCCACAAGCCCTTGGAATCAATATGATGGTATATAAGTGACTTATATTCTTTCAGTGTATGGTTTCAAATTATCAATAATATTGATTTACTTAAGTTACGCTGTTGATGAAGACCTACCTTCTTCCTGAGCGTGGTTACAAGTTGAGCAATGTTTGTGACCTGAATCTCGATGTAATAGTCTGAATCATGTTTTCCCGAAGCATGCTCCAGTACCAGCCCTGCTCCTACTTTGATTTCTGGTTTTACCGCGAAGTGTTGATGGAAACATCCCTGATATGGTGTACAATAACAGTCTCCTGGATTTCCACCATAAGTGGCCTGACAGGCAGAGAGATCCTGTACAAAAAGTATCAGTGTGTTGTAAATAAAATTAATTTTTTATTAAACAAAGATAATAACTACTCCCTGATGTTATAAATCTCAACATTTCCTAAGTTTAAAATAAGAATGGAAATTATCAGTCATTAAACCCGCCACTGCCTTCAGAGCTTGAGGTCTGGAAATACCGACTTGTTGCTTGAAGCAAGTACATGTAGTACCAAGATGTCAGTCAATGTTGAGTGTGACTGGCTACTTATGTACAAAGGCCAAAAAGATTTCTCTTTTCTTTATGATTTATTGTCTCATTGTCATGACTGTAACATTGTTTTTCTTTGCATACTATCTGCTGGTCAAAATCTTCACACTCAGCAGTGGTCCCTACTCCTACAATATTTTTGAAGTCTCTATGAAATTAGCCCAAAGGAGACCCTGAAACTGTTTGGGTTAACTTGGTATAGACAAGAAGAAATGATAGCTGAAGATTAGTGCTATAGTCCTGTAACTTTTGATTTTCTTTTTCAGTCTTTTTAACATACATCTGCCCGTTGTGAGATGAGATCCTCATGGCCATGCTGTATAACCGTCTCTGTGTAGTTATCATAAAGTTTCCAATATAGACTGTCTATACCACTATGGAAGTCGTAGCTCTCCCATTCAATCCTGAAAAAGTATACAGCATTCATTACAACACCACAAGGCATCTGTCAAAAAGTTAAAACACAGATCATCTATCACATAGCAATTACAACACAACAGGGCACCTGACAAACAGTAGTTACAACACATCAGGGCACCAATTTAGTAATTAGTTATATCAGGGCAGCAATCAATTAATCCTAATACAGTGAAATCCACTCATGTTCTTTTTGTCAGGGGAAGATGTGATGATAAGCAGAATATGACATCAACATCAACATCTGATACATTTTTTCAGGCGTGTAAACCCATTAGTAAATTTTCAGATTCACCAAATTGACTTGTTTCTAACAGAAATTGTTTGGAGATGATGAAATTGAAATTTGATTTGTTTTTCCAATATAAACAATGATTTGATTTGACTTTTGTTTATTTATTCTTTGAAATATCTAAATTGCAATCATAATTATTGTGAACGATCACGACAGATTCGTACATGACACTACCATATCATTCATCAGCTGACATATTGCTGTATGATTTATCCATCCATTACTGTATAGGCTACATAATGGTGTATCATTGCAAAGTTGGTACATATACAGTATGTAGCTATGCAACTTTGATAAAATGTGTTCTGATGATAGCTACTCGATCCTTGCCGACAAAAATAGTGTAACTGTTCACCTTTGAAATGCCACATTTCATTGGTTGTTAAATTAGTGGTAATTTTTTTAATGGCCAATCAGATGTCATGAAACACTGCATAGGGAAAACTATGTTTCAAAAACATTTTACTTTCACTTTATCAGTGCTTGCGCTAATTCAGGCAATAAATGATTTGATGAAATTTTAAAGCGTCAACATTATGATATGACCTATTCAGTTTCCAATCTTCATTTCATATGATACACTTTTTCCCTAAACAAAAATGAACACAATATGAGAAAAGACGTAAGCGGCCCAGTGAAGCTTTTTGGGGCATGTAATGAAATTGATACCAGTATGCATACTAAAGACTTATTTTCAAGAAGTTTCGGCAGCAAATCGGCTCCCACTCCAACATTGGCTCCGACATTATCAGATGTTGAATTACATAAAATATAAAGGTAACAAGAGTGCCATGGACACAATATACGCTGCCACGAAATATAAAGATCAAGATTGGTCCTTTTAATTATCACTTTTAACAAATCTGTATCATAAGTCTTACAAAAATCGATGAACCGTAAAATCGCCCCTTCATGCACATCGAACCATTATATAAGTGACATTGAGCAAGTTTTATGAAAATCTGATATTAGTTTAGGAGGAGTTGCGTTCACAAAGCTCCACTATCAGCAAGCTACAGATACAAAGTTGAAAATGGCATAAATCAACGAACCAAAAAATCACCCCTTCACGCACATCTACCCATTGCAGTAGTAACATTGAGCAAGTTTCATGAAAATCTGATGATTAGTTTAGGAGGAGTTGCGTTCACAAGAAATGGACATAAGGACGGACATACGGACGGACGGACAAACAGAGAAGATGACGCCAATATACGACCGCCCCTGGTTGCGTAAAAAAAATCTGTTTCAAGAAAACCTGAAATTAACCAAAAAGTGATATTAACAGATGTGATATGAAATGGGTTCCAATGTATTGCATGGAACCAATCAACACCTGTATGTAAGGGAATATTGTGTAAAACCTCAATTATACCAATAATATCATCGAGGTCAACAACTCAATGATGAGAGATACTTACATCATTGTTGTGAAGTCCTCTAAACTGTGCACAGACAGGTTGGTACGACCTCCACGAGTAAGCCATAGATCTCGTATCACTGGTGCTGTATTATCCCGAAAGACGGTCAGCATAACATCGTCATACTTTTCCATGACATCAATGGCTCGCACTGTGACATTTAGTTTATCCCCATCATCCCAGTTTACTGTCAGCGAAGTACTTTGGTCATGAATGTTTGGTCTGATGGTGGTGAATTCCTGTGAGTCTTTTAATACATCACCACCTGTGTATACCTCGAAGGATACCCAGAAATCAACCACACCTGGATAAAGTATCAATACACCCATTTAATAGGAAAACACTGAAACAGTGGTTATGAATTTTGTAAAGGAATTGCATTTTATGGCATGCCACAGCTTTAAGAATAACGAAATCATGCTAAAACAAAACTAGAACTGTCACCAGGATGGCCAACTAATACACCGTTCTCTCAAATCAACAAAAGTTTTGGAGAGGTTGTCCCATCAAAAAACTTGCACGAGGCCTTCGTTTGGTAACCATTTGTCGAAAATGCTATTATTAGGGCTTTCCACACAACCTATTGTTTTTGTTATGTTTCTTATTATTCTTCTTCTGTATTTTGTGGGTTCGTAATCTTTTAAACTGTAAAAGCTAGACATACTGTCTATTCACCTATTTGTAGATACGTATATGAAGTTGTCGATGCCGATTTTTTAAGTAGGTCAAAAATCCAATATGGCCACCATGACGTCATAAGTTAAAAACTTAAAAATGGCAATATCTCGAAAACCGTTGATTGTACAGAGTTTGTGCAATAATATTATTTGTAGAGAATTTTCATATCTAAGTTTTTGTCAGCCATATTAATACAAAATGTGTCAAATAAAAAAGCTTGCTGTGGGGTAAAGTTTTCAAAATTTAACAAATTTTTTCTTTTTCTTTTTTCCAATTTTGAATTTTCTTGAAATTGTCTTCTTCAGATCGATGCAGAACATCCTTCCGATGAATTTAATGTTTTGTTTTTCGGTAGATTGTCACCAAAGAAGTGGAAAGCCCGCAAAATTGTTAGCCACAATTTCCAGTTGTATTTGTCATCTCCTACACCTTTTTATACCAATTTTCAACTTAATCAGCTAATATCTTAATTTTGACCAATCTGAAGCAGTTTTGGAACACCTTATATGTCAAATTACCGGCTATAATAAGGTGTAGCATTAGATCATATATAAATGAAAAGTGAAAGGGCACAACAACATATCATAGAGATGTAGTATGCCAAGTTTGAGAAATATTGCTTCAGTACTTTAATAGGCATAACTCTACCAAAATGTTGTCAAAATTTAATAGCATAAGGATGTAGTATGCCAAGTTCTGAGATACTGCTTCAGTACTTTTTTTAGATACATATGACACAATCTACAATATTAAAATGTTAAATCAATATTTTGGGTATCCTATACATACCATTCACATGGTCTATTGCTGCTGTGGTCCTGTTACCAAATCTGTCATCATAATTATTGTCAACATCTGTATAGGGCCTGATAGCGTTCAGCCATTGGTTGTCTTTGTGTCGCTGGTTGATGAAAAGGTCCGTCCACATGACATCCACAGTATTTGTATCCCTGACTACCCAAGCATAGCTAGTGTTGGAGGAGGCTGTGGTAACACGTGCATATTTGTCTGCCAGTTTCTCCACCTCAGACATGTTGTCAAATAGCATCACCTTCCTGGCACTCTGGAGGTTTCCTGCTCTGTCAATCACATGCAGCAGCAACATGTACATGCCTGGTGTTGTCAAGGCGAAAGTTGCCTGGAAAGAAAATTGAAAAGGACAATATGAAATTCTGTAAAAAAACTTTATAAACTGAATTGTTTTCAAACAGCTATCCAATGTGTGAGAACAACTAAATTGTAAGTAAATAGGTAAGACTGATCCTCAAAGATCTGTCACAAAACTGTTCTTACTCTCAGTAAATCTATTTAAAGGAACACAATTTGATAACTATAAATTGCTGATGTGGTGATATAGCTTGATTTCTTTACTAATTTGTCAATGAGACTCCAACATATGAAAATTTCCATTTTTTCAGTTTTCGATTTTGGAAAGGAATACTCAAATCATTTTCATTAATCTATACAGGCATCATACCGAGCTTTGGCTGGTTGGCATTACAACAGGCATGTTGGGAAGGAGCGCATCTTCTATTATAAGCCCTTGAGAAATCCTTGTGGTGAAGACTTCATACTCATATTTGTCTAGACCTGACAAATCATCTGCCCAACCATCCCAGCTGAAGGTGATCGACGGCTGTAACAATATTAAACCATTATATCAGGTGAACATAAAACCATGATTTCTTTTAAGGTGGTATACACTCCGAAAATCAGTATGCACACTAAGTAAAGCAAACCTGTTTACAAAGTCTCCATCAATGATTGTTTAAGATTATGAAATAGTCTTCCAAGGTATCCACAGGATACACAGTAACTCATTACACTTACATCAATAATGAAAAAGTAAGTGGAGACTCATTTAATTGCCGAGGTAGGACCTGGTGACTCATTTAATTAATGAGGTATGGCATGGTGACATTTTATTACCGAGATAGGGCATGGTAACACATTTATTTGATGACACTGGGAGTGGTGATTCATCATCAATGCAGAAAGTTGTGACTCATGTCACTTACACTGATGCTGACACAGGAAATATTGACTCATTTCACTTTCCTTCAATGTGAGAAAGGAATTGATGAATCATTTTATTTGCATGCTGGAAAGTTTTAACACAAGTAGGGACAGGTGACAAAATTCACATACATCAATGATGAGTTGGGAAGTGGTGGCTCATTTCATTGGTGAAGTAGGGACAGGTGACAAAATTCACATACATCAATGATGAGTTGGGAGGTGGTGACACATTTCATTGGTGAAGTAGGGACAGGTGACAAAATTCACGTACATCAATGATGAGTTGGGAAGTGGTGGCTCATTTCATTGGTGAAGTAGGGAGAGGTGACAAAATTCACATACTTCAATGATGAGTTGGGAAGTGGTGACTCATTTCATTTCATTGGGGAGGTAGGGAGAGGTGACAAAATTCACATACATCAATGGTGAGACAGGAGGTGGTAACTCATTTCATTGGTGAAGTAGGGAGAGGTGACAAAATTCACTTACATCAATGGAGAGGTAGGAGTGAACGAATCAGTGAGTTGCTCCAAATTATTCATGATACTGAATGTTTGTGAGGTGTGATAAAATAACCCATTACACTTACATCCTCTGTAAGATCTGGTGCACTGACAGCCTGACCACAAGAAGTGCCCCCACTCCGGGCACAGGCATGATATGGCAGCTCCATGTCAAAATGGTACATAAACTGCCGAGAGTGGGTCTTTCCTTTCAACTTAAACAAGGTTTGGGCATACGAGTTTTCACGATGTAAAATTCTCACATACCCTCCATTTCTGACGGACATATCAAAGTAAAGCCTGTGAAAACAGAGTTATCTTTATAGATTGTTGTTGACTTAACTCAACAAGTACATAAAATAATATTCAAGTATCCAATGCTTTTAAAATCAATTTTCAATAATTGCCAATATTATGTTAACTAGCCATGCTGAGAGGTGATAATTGAGGTTTGTCTTGGAAAAATATTTACAGTAAAATGTTCTTGAGGGATGAATTTTGTTGATTTCATGGGTACTTTTAATCAACGAATTACTATGCCAATGAACTTTTGAAATTAGCAGAAGTAGATTTATTTCGTTATATCTGTCCATAAAATCAAGAATCCACAAAATAGTATTGTTTGAAAAAAACCACAAAAAATGAGTCGAACAAAAGTTAATGATTCTATAGTACTAGACAAACTTTGTTAAACAGATATATCTCTTTTTTTCCCATCTGGAAGAATTTGGAGGCTATACAATATTTAGTCAGGTAATGGAACTAAACAAAATATCTTAAATAACAGATTTGTGGTGAATAGATAAAAATTAAAATTCAAAATTGAATTTTAATTATATTAAACAACCCTGAGCTGCTTGTTAACTCAAATAGGTAGACATATTTACCTATCATTATGCATGAAGTTACTCCAAGCGTGAAACGTTATATCTTGGGAACATGTGTATGTATCTGTTGATGGATTCATATCTGAACCCTGACAATTCCTCAAGTAATACGGCCAAACGGCGGTCGATCCTACAATAAAGTGATCACAGAAATAACTATTTCTTTGCTTGAAGCTGATAAATATAATCATCACATAATCTACCTATCATCAAGTGAAAATAAGTCGTGAATTGAAAATGGGATTTGTTTTCTTTTCATACAAGATTTTACAAAAAACTGTCCTCGTCAAGACTGGTCCTATAAAATCTCAAGAAATGAAAACTGATTTAAGCTCCAACAAGGACACAGTCATTAAGATCCCCTGCACATGTTCATTTGTAAAATATAGACATTTAAAGTGAGTAACATGGAAAACTGGAAAAGATATCAGCCAATCAGGTTATAGCAGCCTCATTAAATATGCACAGAATTTGCCAATAACTAAATTAGAACAAAGGGTTAAGGTAACAAGTCTACCAAACAAGTCTCATCATGATTCATTTGTTCCTTCAAAAGATAATGTGCGGAAAGCGTTCAGTTAGAGTGCCAAAAGATATTGGCCAATCAGGTCACAGCAGTCTCATTAAACATGCTTAGAATTTGCCAATAATCGAACCTGAACAAGGAATTAAGGTAATAAGTCTACTGAGCAAGTTTCCTATAAATCCTACAAGTCCTTCAAAAGATGTCATGCAGAAAACAGCATCCAAGAGTGATTAAAGTAATCAGCTAATCAGGTCACACCAACCTCATTAAATAAGTGCAGAATTTGATGTTAATCAAATGTGGACAAGGGATTTAAGTTACAAGTGTACCAAACAAGTTTTGTCAAAATCTGGCCTGTCCTTCAAAAGATTTCATGTGGAAAGCAGCATCTGCACAGCCAGAACCTATCTGAATATCTCCTGTCAACTTTGTTGGGATAATAAATCTGTAACAGCAGTAGCAATTTATGCTACAGTGTGTCACAATTGCTGTGTACAAAATGTTTCACTAAACTGGAAAATTGCTGATTACAGTGTTGCCAACTCCGAATCATCCCTAACACTTCAAAATCAAGGGTGGAAGGGCATTTCAAAGGGTCATCAAGGAAAGAAACCTTATAATAAAGTCTTTTATACAAGTTATCAAATTCTCATTGTATTTAGACACTGTTATGTCATTAACATTTGGTATTTTCTAAAAACCAATAAAAAGTGAAAAATATCAGGTGTTTTACAACGTTTTTCCTGATATGGCCATGCAATAGCAGTTTGACAAGATGAAATCAAATGAGTTGACAACACTGTAGTTTATCCATGTAAGCAGTGATGAAACTAACTTTAAGAACCATCAGAAACATGATCTATTTCTGGTTCATGCAATAAACTCCTGTACCTTACTATTGCCAGAACTTACAATTTATAAAATATGAAGTCTGTTATATAAAAAAAAAGTTAAATGGCTTTGGATTGATCTTGTGTTGAGACTCAACTTACCTCTATACAAGGAGAATTTGATATCACCACCAATAATACCATACTGAAAGTCTGTGACATAATGGGTGGACCCATCACTAGACGGGGATGGAGGAAGGTCAGCTACTGGGACATCCACCTTGAACACACCGGTGAAGTGGGCACTGACACGATTTATCAGCCTGTTATTGGTCCAGACAGTGGGCATAGGGTCGGCATAGGCAGCATTTTGATCTGCAGGGTTCTCCACTGTCCTACCGTTCAGGTCATGCAGAACTGCTTGCTGGTCAGTAATGGCGGGAGCATCAATGACTGATAAACACAAACAGGAATCAATGTTATCTATATACACAATGTGCAACATACCAAGATGACACACCATGTTGACCTTTTTGAGGAATATTCACATCAGACATTTACAAATATTATCTGGTAACGGCTGTTCCAGTAAAACATCTATCTCACCCAAAGTCTGTTTTCTTTGAGGTACTACCCATAGAATTTAATTAATAACTTTGTTAGAAGTAAGAGACAGGACACTGCACCATGAGAAGTGATTTAACAATCCTGTGGTCAAGTAAATGTTTTACTGGAATAGGCATAAGCCTATATGTTCATTTTTTATATCAATAGGTACATACAGTGACCATGGCCAGATGTGACAGCTGTAGCTTAGGATAGAAACTGCTTCCAACATCCTATTATATACTTGATTCTTAATTAGTATGTAGTAGAACAAAACTATAGGCTACTGTAGTCAGATTTACACAGGTAATGTATAACAAATATTCTGTCATTGTTTAATGTTATGTTCAGTAACATTCCTATAAAGGCACACAATCTTCCAATCAAATTTGGTGGGAATATGCAAACTTACTCTCATCACAATGGTGACCTGTAAATCCCTGCATGCATACACAACTATCGGATGTCTCTGATGAACACTTGCCAGGGTAACAGCGTGTACTGTCTGACCGCCATGAACATGCCTCTGTCAACATGAAAAATTTGTGGTAATTAAAGAAACACAGAAATATCAAAAATGAGTTTAAACACACCTTTTCACTATGCTCAATTGAAATAAATTTCGTTCGCTTTTAACAATGTTGAACAAGTCAACTTTTTTCAATTCTGAAACTTGCAAATAAGCACCCTGCCTACCATATTCTACCCACTACATGAAAGTATCAAAAATCATTAAAATACTCAGAAATTTGAGGGTTGGAGGTATGGGGTGTTACCGTTACATTACAGGTAGCAGTAAAATTGCTCTGGTAAAGTTGTAATTACCAGGGATAATAATTACACTGTAGTAATCTTCTGCTGGTGGGGAATCAGATTATAACTGGCTCAAAAACCCTAGGTTATGTATAAAGATGAGTACTATGCTGACCAGGATGTTGTGTCCAGAGCCCATAAATGGGGGAGGGGCACATATAGGAACATGGGCTCTTAACAGATCAAATATGGTAATAATGTATTGAAAAGAGAGTGGCATATGTATGGTCTTAAGAGTTACAAGAATTGACAGGCTTTAGGCAATTGTGGAAAGTTTAACATCACACCACTTAACCACACAACTCATCCAACACCTTCCCAATGTCACATGTATACAATTTTTAAGACGAGAATATTACTATGTGTACAATTCTTAATTCCTTAAGCTGGTAAAGCAAGAAATTCAATTATTTTGAAAAGCTGAAAATAATGATATTGTTGAAAACAAATGTTACACACGTTTGCAGCTCTTTTTTCCATCAGTAGCAGAGGTGTACGCCCGCCAGTACTGCTCCTCTCTAATCTCCCCATCACAGTAGGCACAAATGTTGTCCCAGGGAGACGTACACTTTCTATGCAGGCAGTGGTCAATCTTTGGACAAACTGAAAACAGAATATCATACAATTATTTCTATTGTTGCACACAATGCTTACCTGTTGTACCCATTGATATTGTTTTGTTATTGTTCACATATACCTGTTGTAAGCATGGTTTACTTGTCGTTTTCCGTGACCTGCTTTTCTCATTGTTTACCTGTCATTGTTGTTTTTCATTTACCTTTTATGAATATTGCTTAACTGTTGTACCCATTGACATTGTTTTGCTATTGTTCTCATATACCTGTTGTAAGCATTGTTTACTTGTCGTTTTTTACGTGACCTGCTTTTCTCATTGTTTACCTGTCATTGTTGTTTTTCATTTACCTTTTATGAATATTGCTTAACTGTTGTACCCATTGACATTGTTTTGCTATTGTTCTCATATACCTGTTGTAAGCATTGTTTACTTGTCGTTTTCCGTGACCTGCTTTTCTCATTGTTTACCTGTCATTGTTGTTTTTCATTTACCTTTTATGAATATTGCTTACCTGTTGTACCCATTGACATTGTTTTGCTATTGTTCTCATATACCAGTTGTAAGCATTGTTTACTTGTCGTTTTCCGTGACCTGCTTTTCTCATTGTTTACCTGTCATTGTTGTTTTTCATTTACCTTTTATGAATATTGCTTAACTGTTGTACCCATTGACATTGTTTTGCTATTGTTCTCATATACCTGTTGTAAGCATTGTTTACTTGTCGTTTTCCGTGACCTGCTTTTCTCATTGTTTACCTGTCATTGTTGTTTTTCATTTACCTTTTATGAATATTGCTTACCTGTTGTACCCATTGACATTGTTTTGCTATTGTTCTCATATACCAGTTGTAAGCATTGTTTAGTTGTCGTTTTCCGTGACCTGCTTTTCTCATTGTTTACCTGTCATTGTTGTTTTTCATTTACCTTTTATGAATATTGCTTAACTGTTGTACCCATTGACATTGTTTTGCTATTGTTCTCATATACCTGTTGTAAGCATTGTTTACTTGTCGTTTTCCGTGACCTGCTTTTCTCGTTGATTACCTGTCATTGTTGTTTTTCATTTACCTTTTATGAATATTGCTTACCTGTTGTACCCATTGACATTGTTTTGCTATTGTTCTCATATACCAGTTGTAAGCATTGTTTACTTGTCGTTTTCCGTGACCTGCTTTTCTCATTGTTTACCTGTCATTGTTGTTTTTCATTTACCTTTTATGAATATTGCTTAACTGTTGTACCCATTGACATTGTTTTGCTATTGTTCTCATATACCTGTTGTAAGCATTGTTTACTTGTCGTTTTCCGTGACCTGCTTTTCTCATTGTTTACCTGTCATTGTTGTTTTTCATTTACCTTTTATGAATATTGCTTAACTGTTGTACCCATTGACATTGTTTTGCTATTGTTCTCATATACCTGTTGTAAGCATTGTTTACTTGTCGTTTTCCGTTACCTGCTTTTCTCATTGTTTACCTGTCATTGTTGTTTTTCATTTACCTTTTATGAATATTGCTTAACTGTTGTACCCATTGACATTGTTTTGCTATTGTTCTCATATACCTGTTGTAAGCATGGTTTACTTGTCGTTTTCCGTGACCTGCTTTTCTCATTGTTTACCTGTCATTGTTGTTTTTCATTTACCTTTTATGAATATTGCTTAACTGTTGTACCCATTGACATTGTTTTGCTATTGTTCTCATATACCTGTTGTAAGCATTGTTTACTTGTCGTTTTCCGTGACCTGTTTTTCTCATTGTTTACCTGTTGGACTCATTATTTACTTGTATCCAATGTTTGCTGTTTAATTTGGTTGTTTTCCCCTGTTGACAAGACTATACTCACTATCACACATGCCACCGTTGGCGTAGAATCCATCATTACAGCTGGAACACTGGTCAGGAGCAGTACAAGTACCTCCACTATGTCTCTGTCTCACGCCAGATCGGTACTGTATGTAGTCATTCCTATAATACTGTGTACATGCACCTCCATCACCCGGATTTATCCGCTTGTTACAAATGGCTGTGGAAAAAAAAGTTTGGTTTGTGGGAATATTCAAACACTCAAAAGGCCCTGCTTTTAAAAACAATTAAAGAGGTAAAGAAAGATCTCTGAAACAATTTAAGGAAAATTCCAAGATGGCATTAGCTGCACTTCCTGGAAAAAATTGAACTTCCACCTAATGAATAGTGTAAAAATGAAAAGCAGATAAATAGCATCTTTCTACACAAATTTAGATAAAAAAACTGCCTCATACAGCTGTTTTGTCCTTCTAAGAAATCTAGGAGGCGAATGTGAGCAAGATAAAAAGTGATCAAAGAAATGTCAAAAGAGGTACACTAACCCCAAAATTCAATCAATTTCAATAACGCAAAATCTAAAAAAATATATATTGATAAGTACATGTGTATATATCTTCTTATAAAATGAATCCTGTTTTTATATCAACATTCAAACAATATGCTACCATCGTGTTCAATCCATGAAATAATTTCTAAGTCTTTAAAGGAAGGACAAATGCCAACATAAAAGGTAAGTTTGCATGACTTCCATTTCAGGAATTTAATCCAACAACTGTGGAAAGCAACAAACACAGGGCTATGATCAAACTTTTCATATTTTTCCTAAATATTCTTTCCTTTTAATGATATGTCCTTACCATGGTTGCAGTTTGTGAAATCGTCATACCAGTTCTGGTATCCGTTACAGCAGAAGTAATTGTAAATTGTCTTATCTCTGTGAACAAAGAAGCAAATTATTATCAGATTGTTCAACACATTCTGTAAAAACATTAATTTTTGATGCAAGATTTTTTGTTGTTGATTTAATGGGTACTCTTAATCCACAAATTGTTAAATTAGTATACCATGTAAGCAGATTAATTGTCCACAGACGGCCATCTTGGATTTTGATATAATAGTTTGTTTTGCTAATTAATAAAATAATTATGTAGGCAAAAAACAAGTGTCAATGAATGAATGATTTTTTGAAAACCCATAAAAATTGAGACCCACAATAATTTGTAATTCTACAGTAGTTTATCCGAGTGGTATCCTCTAGTCATCTAATATATGGTAATAGATAATAGTTCATCAAAACCAAAGGCAAAGAAGTGCATTACATGCATTGTCAAGGAAAAAGATCTGATAATCAATTATATTGTATAATTATCACATTTGTTTATATTAAGATGATGCTATGTTTGAACAATATTTTGATTACATGTAAAAACTTATTTTAAATTTTTAGACACTGATAAAAAGTATAAAAATGTCTGATGATTTTAGTATTTTCAAGATGTAGGCAGGTCACGACATGGCTGATATCAAGTCAACAAATGAAATCAGGCGAGTTGGCAACACTGTAACTTACAATCATTGTGAAAATGTCACTCCATTAGAATGTAGTTCAAATGAAAAGATCATTATTTGTTATAAAAATAGCTTTCAATTACTTCTATAATTAAAACTAATTTAGGATTTTTTAACTTTTTATTTTTCAAAATTTAGAAAGTTGGCTTATACATTTAAGAAATAACTTCAATTGGGAATGGACACCATTACATGTCCCAAAAAGCCCTTAAATTTTACTAGAAATTGTATGAAACACAAGAAATCATCTAAAATGCATAATTTCGTTGTAGATAAGTGGAGGATAACATATTTGTTAGTTGGACAAATATCTAACAGATGGGTGCAATACCATTTAAAGAACTGAAAACAGTATAAAGAAGAAGACTTTGCTCATTTTTGGCTTCAACTGGTCATCAATTCACATGTATTGGAGAGAATTGGTATCTATAACGAGTAAAGGTTGGTGATGTCTTCATCTCTAAATATAAATTCAGTACCTAATGGGGACAGGGTCTCCAGGGGCCTGTCTCTTTTAATTCTAAGGTTATCCTTGTTTCTGAAACACTTTCAGTTTTATTTGCATGAGTGTAACTATATTTGGTAAACAGTTTGTCTATTAATACTTACGTATATCTGGTACACCGACCCCACTTCCAGAAGCTACATTTTGAATAATACTTCGTTTCCTCAGTGTGAGTGCTCACACAAACATGGTTTCTGAAACATTCAAACATTAGATTTAATTTAAAAGAAATGTTTCTTTGATAATAATTCAACATATCTGCATAAGCAGCAGTGACAACTGGCTTTCACATGATATCTCCTACCAGGGATACATGGAGTTATCTACTCTTTATAAAAAATGTACATCCCTGAAACATGGATGTGTATCCATCTCGTCTCTCGTGGACACAGTCCTTCAATTCTGAAACGAGATGGAGACCAGTGGCGTAGCAAAACATTTTTAAGAGTGTATGCTTTCAAGAGAGGATCCAAGGGCGAAGCCCCGGTTAAGGGGGTATAGGGGCGCAGTAAGGTTAAAAAAGTAGGGCAAATATATCTCAATGGAATTCGAGTGTATGTTTAAGCATATAAGCATACATTATTGCTACGCCTCTGGAGACAAATCGTTTTCTAGTATCACAACGCCATTGACAAAAGCATTTGGACAACATACTTTCTCCTCGACTGTGGATACAAACCATTTCCCGCCAAAACTTTCAAGGGACGTCACTCTTTCTTAAATAAATGATGCTTCTATATATTAGAGTGAGAGACACAGATAAATGACATATAAGCGTAAAATGTTATATATAAAAACAGCTCTTTTCCTGTGTAACTAGAGTTTATGTTATTTTCATAATATGTCATTTAAAATACATAACATTAACATATTATGATACAAACTATATCCGACGGGAAATATATATAAAAAATCTAATATAGCGTAAATATATCTAAACCTGCCGAACGTAATATCTGCACCCTACAGGAAAGTCTTCTTGTTTTGACGGACAGCATGACTAGAATTAAGTAATTTAACTCAATTTCAAGGATATGTACATAAACAAGCTATCAATTTTATTCCAATATATTATTTCAATCCATGCGTCTATATTTTTTCTCGATGCAAAGGATGAGACACCCAACCAATGGATTATGACAGACATTAAATGATAAATACATGCAGTGTGATGTAATCAATCATATTTTACTATCTATACATGCGAAAAAAATTGTTTTGATCAAGTCCTCCTTTACACAGCCAAGGAAACAGCCACGGACTTCGTCATACACGAGGTGGTCCCCTAACGATATGTCTGCTACCTGTTGAAAATCGGCCAAGAAATAACAGTGTTTGTACGGACACTAGTACTGGTACCGCGTGCTAATTCAGACAATGCATTTCCTAATTATAGATCTGTTTCTTATTTTGCTGAACAGTTCTTTGTTTTATGAACAGACATGTACCTCAAAGCTTGAATCAGATGTGTTTCTTTGTTACATCGTAATAACTTGACGTGGATTGAATTAAACATAATTGCAAAATTTCGATTTTATTTCTTTTAATAAGACGAATCAGTGGAAATTGTATAAATTGATAAGTCCAGATAATACGTATCTGTAATAAGGCTTATTGAGAAACAATATACAGACATGCACATAGCGTACACGCTCGTAAACAATGTGTTCTACATAACATCATTCTCATACGGATCTATCCTAACAACCGAGTTTTATGTCCCGGTTTCACAAGTGGGCCAAAACTAGAAGGTTTCACCATTGATCGCTTTAAAAATTGTATATGTCACTGTTACTATAAATAGAATATGTATGACCCAGTCACGTCCTTTCTCTGAGACTAACTTCATTTTCGTTGTATTATCGTTATAAAACTCCATGCACATGCTTACAGCCATGAATTCTTGTAAATGTTTGCGTCAAACTTCTGTGATAAATAACAATGTTAACATTACCTCTGGTTTGAAAAGAAAGAAAGAACGAGAAAGAAAGAAATACGAAAGATCTAAAGGCATTTTCATAATATTGATTGGTTATATAACAAGGATCTTATTTAGAATCTGGGAACAGGAATATGTTCCTGTAAAGATCAAGAGGCACTAGATTTTCGCCAATAGTGTAGGATGAGGGCGATTGAGCTTGAGTAGATCTGCCATTTTCAGAATTCAGTATTGAATTATTCTGCAAAACACGAGACAATGACGTCATCTCAAAGAGGAAATGGTCTATACACTTATTGAAAAATCTCTGTGGAATAAAAACCAGGACAGTGTCGTGCCGCTTGATCTTACTTAAGATCCCATATATACGTGTATATGATCCCATCAAATGGCTTTGTCACGTTCTACGTGAACCCATACGTTACTGATTAAAGGTTTAACTTGTAAGGTATGTGATGGGAGTCGAGATAAATCCCATATTTGCTCCAAACACACGACGGCATTTAACTATTTCACCAGTGTAGATACATATACCGGGTCGGCTTGTTCTGGGGGTTTTACATGACACCCACCAATGTTAGGTTAAACCTCCAATTCAGCCCTCTTTAACATTATTTAAAAACAACAAACAAACACGTGGTTAACACAAGCCCGGGGCTATTCAACAGGAATATTTTATCATGTAATCTTGAAAATTCCAAATAATGAATGAGAGAAAAAAAAAAACAAAGAAAAACAAACCTTTATACATGTATGACATATTTTGATGACCTTCCTAAAACATTGAATCATGCACATGCGTTATATTAGCACTTCGAATTCACGTAAAATCCTCATTATGGTTTACTTATTTTTACTTATATTACTCTCAAACGTGAAAAAGAATCCATTATAGTCTTCAGCAGTCTTCTATATGTACATGTAGGGAAGGGTTTTACAATGCCAGAATGTGGTCTGCTCAGTTAGGTTCTATTACATAGTGACAATTCGCGGACACGGGGATCCTGACCAGACGAGAATATAACTGTTATATAAGAAGGGGAATTGGGGTTAGAGGGACTCGAAGGTGGAGGAGGCAGCGGTGGTAAAGGGTGGGATCAGATGTGGATTTGGAAGAGGGGTTATGATGGTAAGGGGTAAGGTGGTAGGGGGGTTTGTGAGAGAGAGAGAGAAATATATGATAATGGTACGGGATGGGTTGAATGGGGGTTGAGGGAGAAAGGGGCGGTGGTGGTAAGGGATAATAAGGGAAGAGGGTTTAAATGAGGAAGAGGCGGTGATGGTAAAGTGTATGGGGAGACAGGGATTTGGATTAGGGGAAGTGATGATAGTAAGTAGATTCGTGGGACTGAGGTTTGAGGGAGGAAGAGGCGGTGATGGTAAAGGGCGTGGTGGGATGATGGTTTGAGGATGTGGGAAGTAATGGGCAGAGATAACGTGGAATCTGGAGGTGAGGGATTTGAAGGAGGAGGCAGTGATGGTAAGAGCTAGCGAACGTCTACTCCAATTTAGACCGACTGGATATATATATATACGAAAACAATATATGATACCTAAGATGTCTGTTCTGGACATATGATGGTATTTACTATATAGATATAGGTTTCATTGGAGTAGGAAATGGAGGAACAGCATACTCACCCAGGTCCATCAAGTGGGTCATTATAGACCATTGGGAAGCCACCACTGGTCCCTAAGTCATGGAATGGTCCGGCCTGAGTCAGACCAAAGGACAAAACACACGTTAATGACCAAAGCGTCAACATGACCCAAGGAAAGTGGCCGTCGAGTCATCGATATCACATAATTATGACGTCACACTCACACTGACGTCAGAAAAATAATCTTGTACTGTAACAGTTTCCTTGGTTCTGTAATTCCCTTCGAAATTTTACACACAAACGATTTCTTCGTCACGAAATCGTTTTCTTCGGCGTTTTTGTTACACCATTACACCATTGCTGGTATATTTATAAAATGAAGAATGTCTTGTTACATTTTCTCCATGTAAATAAAGATATAAGACAGAAATGTTAATCTCCGGAACAGATTTCACCAACCTAGACCTGTCTTAGTAGTGCTAGCCGCCATTACTAGGTAGCTGTCATTGTTCGTGTTGTTCGTCTCTATTGTTTCGGAGTTCGATGATTAGTGAGATAAGGGTCGTCATATACAATATCATAAGGTTTTATTCGTGTGTGACTTAGATGGTATCCAACAGTCCAATACGCCATTCAATACATTCAAAGGCAGACTTAGTATGAAACATAGGAATAGAGAGAGAGAAAAAAACAAGTCATAATATTATGACAGGGGTCTGTCATCGGCTAATGTTAAATAGGTGTTGTAATGAGTTGTTGCATACATTTTTACGTTATTTCAATAAGTTTTGTATACTCGAATAATTAGTTAACTCAAATACCTCCAGTAACCCGTGTGTTGTGTGGGTATGTATCATTGCTAAATCAGGATGACAGACAGCCAATTTAGATGTGACGCGAAATGATAAATGTACAGTTGGGTTCACTGCGATATATTATATAACAAATGTCCAGACACGAGCATGGCAAAACATTGAGTATTAAGGAAAGAATAAGAAAATTTAGATCTATCGCAATGACTGATAGTTTACTTTTTCTTATAAGGATATGACCCGGTCAAAACGGCCGCCCACAATTCTCTATTAAGCTTCACACGTCCAAATTTTCATCACCGGTAAAAGTTTAAGCCTTTTATGTTGTCTCTTATTTTGTGGATAAACGGCTATTATCAATCATAACTCTTAATACATATATATATAAACATATCTGTCATTGTTCACTATCATATTTACAACGAATTAACAACAATTTACAAGTTGTCTCCCTTAGTATACGATGTGCAGTGTGCATTGTAAGGGATATATATATATACATGATATATGATTAGTACGGAAAATGACGAAGAGGAGGAGATGGCAGGACAGGACAGGTACAATATTTTGTTCACAGAATCAATAAAGAAGATTAAACTGTACGACAGCTTGCAATCCACTCCGTCTCTGACTTTAAACAGCTAAAACGTTACATCTTCAGTGAACGTTTTCGGCGACGTTCTCATAAGATTACACTACATATTTAAAATTTGACTGTCATCGGAAAACACCATTTGGATAGAATATAAATTTGGGCTAAGAAAGCGGGTTCGAATCTTTCACGGCTGCATGTTTATTTGTCAACACACAAATCATTATCATTGTATCACTGAGACCGGTAT